TTTTCTACATGATTTTTCTCCCCCAAACACCGTGAAGTGAGATTTTTTGCCTTACTTAGAGAGAACAGTGAATGTGAGAGAGGGAAAGGATGATCTGGTTTATGTCAGTTTTATCCACAGTGAGTCTGGACCTCAGGGCAGCAAGGACCCTGGCCTGTCCTCGCTGGAGTCCTGGTGCCACCTCAGTGCAGGCAGCTAAGTTGTCCAGGAATGACGGACGGTCTTCTCAGCTATTATTTATCTTAAGCGTATAGCACGTCTGATGAGGAGATGGCCAATGGGAACTAATGTTTTTTTGAAGATGTAAAGACATCTCTACCTCTTCTACAACAACTCACCTAAGAAAATATCACCTTGCTGAACGCCGAGTAAGTCAGTCAGATGTCACTTAGAAGGGTCCCCTAGTGGATTACCTTTTAACCACTCTGCTAACGTGCAGCTGTATCGCTACCAGAGCCGAGGGCCCATAAACGTCTCATTACACGGGCCCAGGGGCGGATGAGCAAAGGCTAGCGAACACGTGGACAATGGCCAACTAAAGAAACAAAAGCCACCTCCAGATTAATTGGAACACGCCTCCCAGGTGATGTGCTCTAATGAACTAAAACAGCAGCAAAAGCAACCTGAAAACCGGCATCGAGGGTGCAGATACACCTGCTAAGAACCTTTGCAACAACAAAGGGATGCTTTGCGTGAGTCCTTCATAGATTAATTGTTTCGCTGTTTCCATTCGGAGATGGTGTGGTCTCACTGGGGCTGTTCAGAGATGTTCATGGCGGCGTAGTGAGCTGTCCCAGAATGGCAGTTCCCAGGCGGCAGCGCCTGGGCGGGAGGGAGGGGCCAAGCGGATGTGGGGAGGAGCTGGCGGTGGGAATGGCAGGCCAGCAGTGAGTGCAGTGCAGGCTGCGTGAAGGCGTGTCACCGGGGAAGTTGTGACCTGGCCACAGCTTCCACTCCAGATGAGACGGACGGGTGGACTTGCCTTCAGTCTCCTGATGAGGTTGGCCTTTCCTTGTGTTTGCAGCTTCTCTTTGTAAGGTGCTTGCAAGGCATTTACCACCTTAACGCTGGGAGAGACGGCCTGATGTTTTCCTTCCTAGGAGAACCCGAGCGGGTCTTGGTTGCAGGCCTCACGTTGGGCAGAGCTAGGGAAATTAGGGCTGTCTCCCATCTGACCTGAATGTTCTCGGGCCTGGCTACCAGGGCAGCAACAGAATCTCCACAAATCTTAGGTGCAAACATGTCCTGGAGTTCCCTTAGGGAAGGGCTGGGAGAGGGTAGAGACTGGGATTTGTCCTTGTTATAAACACTGGCCCTTTGAACGACATGGATTTGAACTGTGCCGGTCCGCTTATACACAGATTTTTTTTTTTTTCCAGAAAATGTGTTGGAAAATATTTTGGAGATTGGCAATTTGAAAAAACTCAAAGGTGAAGCATGGAGGCCAGGAATATTGAAAAAATTAAGAAAAAGTTATGTATGTCATGAATGCATAAAACGTATGTAGATAATAGTCTATTTTATCATTTTCTACCATAAAATATACACAAGTCTATTATACAAAGTAAAATTTATCAAAACGTATGCACGCAAACACTTCAGACCCCACAGGGTGCCATTTGCAGTCAAGAGAAATGTAAACAAAAGTACAGATGCAGCGTTGAACCGTAAGTGCATAAAATTAACTGTAGTAATGTCAGGTGTATAGTTAGGCTCTCGGCTCTCAGCAAGAAAAGTGTTCCCTGCTTTGGTGCTATTTGGGGCAGCTGCTCCACCTGGGCAGGATAAGGGGGGGGGCACTCCATTTTGGTGTTGCCCTACCCTTGATCCTGTCCCCAGCAACTGCTACACCTGGGGAAGGGGGGAACGCTTTATCAATCCGGGAATTCCCCGGCCCAGGCATGCTAGGAGTTAGAAAGTGACCTGAGTAACCTAAGGGCAATTATTATGCCACTAGCTTGAATCTGCATTGTGGTCCATACACCCCCACCCCCACCGTGGGCTTTTGGAGAGGGAGCTCCTATACACAGATGGAATTTTGAGGACACCTGTTGATCATTTGATAACATCCCACACCTCCCGAGAGTCCGCCCACAGACTGGGCTAATAAAAGGAAACAATCTGAGAATTCAGTGGGAGAGAATGAGTCGGGGAGTCCGCCTGTCACCTTCCACTTGTGGAGACAGACCCGTTTTGTTCTACAATAAAGAGCTGCTCCAGTGAAACTGCTTCCTGCCTGTGGTTTTTCTGTCACCTTGGCCCTCCTGGTGGTTTTTCCAAGCAAGGAACCAGAGAACCAAGATCATAACCTGGACTTGACACTTTGGTCATTTTCCAGTCATTTTTCGGCCAAGAGCGCACCAACAACCAAGGGCAGACTGCCACCCTGACAGTGCATAAAATTCCCCTCTGTAATAATTTCTTAGCCACCTCCTGTTGCAACCGCGGCAAGCTTGGGTGTTGGGCGTATCTCCTCAAAATGCCCTGTGTCGCTCTTCATCCCTGCGTGAGCAGTTCGTCCCTCCAGTAAATGATGGACCGCAGTAAAAAGTGACCTCCTTAGGTTCTTACACATTTTTCGTGTTTAGTGCAATACTGTAAGCCTTGAATAACACCAGGGGACCCATAGGAAGTGCCACTAGCGATGCTAGATTGCCCCTAAGAAGCAGAGAACAGTCCCGACATTACAAGAACAAATCAAACAGTGGTTTGGGGTGTGTGGCTGTGGGTACCCCACTTCAGACAGGCGACTCATCTTGTGTGAACTGATGACATATTCTTACAGGACGGATAAATACAGTACAGTTCTGTCAATGCATTTTCTCTTCCTTCTGATTTTCTTGGTCACATTTTCTTTAACTAACTTTATTGTAATAATATACTATGTAATACATATGCAAAATATGTGTTTATTGACTCCTTATGTTATCGGTAAGGCTTCCCAGCCACCACCAGGCTATTTGTATTTAAGTTTTGGAGAAGTCAAAAGTTATACGTGGATTTTTGACTGCCTGGAGGGTCGGCAACCCTAACCCTCATGTAGTTCAAGGGTCAACTGTCATCCTATTAATAAAATAACCTAAGATAATCCTGTACACAATAAAGACTTAATGAAGTGAATTAAATAAAAAAAACCCCACAAATCTCAGGATTTGTCCGACCTGATATTAGTCACAGAGATGGTATCTTTTTCTCATCTCTCTCCTCAGTTCCCACCATTCTTTCGGCAGAAAATGACTTATTTTGAATTAGTGTCTTCAGAGCCACGGGCAAAAGTCCTTCCACGAGTGGGGCGTGGGATTTTTGTGAAACGTCCAGGGCAGTCCCTGCTTATGCCAGCCCTGCGCCTGCGGAGCGGAGCCGAGCAGGGCGGAGCCCGGCGGGCGTCGCTGTGCGCCTGGCCCGGGTGGCCGGGCAGCGCGGCCCTCCTCGCTCTTCTCCCTACGAGCTCCAGAGCCGGCACCAGGACACAGCCCTGCCCACGCCAGGGCCAAAGCGGGCAAAAGGCGTCTCAGCACCACCCAAATCGAAACCAAAAACAGCAGGAAAAGGGAAAATCCTGTGGACATAAGAAATTCTGATCACATCACTCCCGAGGTGGCTTGCCCAGGAGCAAGTGCTACGATGGTATTTTAAAGGGGAATGAACGCATACTGGGAACATTATACGTTAGTAGAGTCTGGGTTTTGTTTTGGTATTTTCTTTCCCAAAGTACTTTCTCAAACACATCAACATTGCTCCCCTAAAAGACATTTCACACTATTTCAAGAAAAGACGTTCTCTGCCCACGACTGCTTTTTCAGCATGCTTCCACCTTCTGTTCCTTTCTAAGCAGTGCTGGTGAGGGGCAGGGCGTGCAGGCAGCAGGAGGGTGGGAGGGGGAAGAAAGTGGGGCTACAACAGCACGACAGGACATGCCATCAGGTCCCCCTGCCCCTCGCATGGGGCACCCCCTTGTCGTCCAGAGTCATTTGTTCTGGAGAATTCCGCATGGTACTTTAATCCCAGGGAATTGGGAGGATGTTTCACCCAAGAGAAGCTGGCTTCCAGCTCTGCACATTGCCAGTTCATTTATGGGAAGGAATTTCGTGGCCTGGAAAGACGAGAGAATGCTTTCTTGCCCTCATTTCACACCTAAAATAGAGAGGTCAACTTAATCGTTCCTAAAAAAATTTGAACCCTGGAATAGTAGTTTTAAACATGTACTAACTGGTCACTCTAGCCTTAAGTCAGGGAAAAGTGCTGATTAGACAATTAACGATCTGACAAGCTCTGTCCATTTAATTCTACTACTTTTTGCTTTCTTTCACGAGGATGAAAATATAGTAATGCACTGCGAATTTGTTTAGGGGCAATATTGATATTTTATAACATAATTTATAATTACAGGAAATATATGAGTCCACTGGGAATTAAGAAATTTTGATAATAAGAAAATGTTTTCGCTTTGACATTGTCATTTCTGTGTACGGTAGAATGTGGGGATGTTAACAGTGACGCTTAGCCTCAGTTCAGAATCAAAGACCTAACTAGTTTGTTGTGTCTATCGGCCGTCTGCCCGGTCAGCCACGTAGCCCTGGGACAGCCTCATGCCCTCATCCCACCATGGGGACCACCTGTCCTGCAGCTTGACCAGAGCCCATGGCTGTGCACCGCCTGGCAGCGGGGCTGGCATTTGGAGGGTGCTCAGCAAATGTGAGCTACTTTTATGGTTTTATTTTCTTCAAAAGAAAGGGAAGGAAAAGTAGCAAGGAAAGGAGACCAAATGGGTAAGGGGAGGAATGAGGAGAAAGGAGGGCGGAGCGGGGCAGCCTCGCGGGGTGGGAGGGAAGCGTTTTCCCCACTTCCCAGCATCTATTGCAGATCCCGCCCTGAAACATGTTGTAAGCCCCTTTATTTAAGGTAATATTTGAAGTGCTGAACCCTTCTGAGAACAGTGGCAGCGGCCCCCTAGAGAATCATTAACTTAATCCGACTATCTTGTTTGTGGATGTGTTTACTCTTGTGCGAGTCAATAACATCCTGGGATTGAGACACACCGTTTCCCAGACGCCGCCGGCCAGTCCCAACATGGAACATAAGGGAGTGCTTCTTCTCCTTCTTTTATTTCTGAGATCAGGTAAGACTTAAAGTGTTTTATTTTTTTACTTTGATAATCTTTTTCCTAGCTATAGGTTTAAGGTACACACATTATGGCTTTGTGTGCAGTTCATTTAATTTAGCTTTTAATTCATGAGACAACCAGTTCAAAATCTCAGATCAAGAAATTATTCAAGAAATAAATATAATCTCCCTATGAATACTGCCAGGATGCTGGGCTGAATGGGCAGAGAAAATAATGGGTGGCTTTTTTTTTTTGAGGCAGAGTCTCACTTTGTTGCCCAGGCTAGAGTGAGTGCCGTGGCGTCAGCCTAGCTCACAGCAACCTCAAACTCCTGGGCTCAAGCAATCCTCCTGCCTCAGCCTCCCGAGTAGCTGGGACTACAGGCATGCGCCACCATGCCCGGCTAATTTTTTGTATATATATATTTTTTTAGTTGGTCAATTAATTTCTTTCTATTTTTAGTAGAGACGAGGCCTCACTCAGGCTGCTTTCGAACTCCTGACCTCAAGCAATCCTCCCACCTTGGCCTCCCAGAGTGCTAGGATTACAGGCATGAGCCACCATGCCCGGCCTATGGGTGACATTTTAAATCTAAATGACCCCAAATGGCTAGTTTAGTTGACAAAATAACCAATGTAGCTAACAACCCAAAAGATGATTAATCTCTCTGCCCGTTTCTCAGTTTGATAATCTATGTCAGTTTTGTTAAGGTGTCACAGCCCCCTCACTCCCAAATCTAAACAATGAAATATCTCGTTGCATATATTCTGTTCCTTGATGAGTGTGTGGAGTTGGCCTCAGAATTTCTCTACTTCTTCTGGCCTAAGGAAGGCTCTCCGTAGGTACGTGTTTGCTTCTTATGCCTGGAGAAAGCACGTGCCTCGGTTGGCCACATGATGCGTGCACATAGTAGTTCAGCAAATGTTCATTTAGTGCTTGCGTTAGACCAGGCACATCTTTATAGATACATGCATACCTGTGTGTGAGTGTGTTTGTGCGTGTGTCCTTTCCTAATAGTAGCTTATTCAGCAGGTGGTATAGGTAGGGTAGTATACTCACCTCCATTTTACAGGTAAGGAAATCTAGACTTAGGAAAATCATGTCACATGCCCATTGACCAAACTCCCAAATGAAGGAAGTGAAGAAACCAGAATTTAAAAGGAGGAATCTAGTGCTTTTCTCACTTTTCAACTTTGTTTAAGCATTTTATAAGATATTCTAGCCCATAATCCCAGCATTTTGGGAGGCCAAGGTGGGAGGATTGCTTGAGGCTAGGAGTTTAGGACCGGCCTGGGAAACATAGTAGGACCCCCATCTCTACAAAAAATTTTAAAAATTAGCTAGTTGTGGTGGTGCATACCTATAGTCCCAGCTACAGGAGGCCCAGGTGGGAGGATCACTTGAGCCCAGGAGATTGAGGCTTCAGTGAGCTGTGATCATGTCACTGCACCTAACCAGGGCAACAGAGTGAGACCCTGTCTCAGAAACAAAACAAAACAAAAAGCTATTCTAAACATGTCCTAGTTTTTTGTGTTTTTTTTTTAAAAAACAGCCTTATTGAGATATAATTCACATATACAATTCACCCACTTAAGGTGTATTTTCAATATGTTCAGAGTTGTACAACCATCACCACAATACATTTAAAAATATTTTCATTATCCTCAAAAGAAACTATACTTTCCTTAACGGTTACTTCCAATCTGCAGCCCCTAGCAACCACTAATCTACTTTCTGTTTTTAAAGATTTGCCTATTTTTCACATTTTTATATAAATGGAATCCTAAATTATTCTAGTAGTTCTTCAGATAAAAATGTATAGATACTTGAAATTCAATCTATAAATTACCAGATAACATTATACAAGGTATACTTTAGAGTCAAATACATTTGAACCTAGTGGAAGCCATTCAAAGAAATATCAAATAAAATACGGAGCAGGAGAAGATTAAACAAAGAGATTTTTGTGGGAAATAGGTGTGAGTGTTGGGGGGCAGGGTATGAGCACTCTATTTCAGCCCATGGAAACTGGGACCTGGGACACTATGAACTTATTCAGTGGGCTACACGCAAAGGCTAGAACACAATTCTCTGGGACAGAATTAACATACATCTTAACCAACCTGGCAGGAGGGTGGGGATTCTCTCACCATTTCTTTTCGAGAGCAATGTATTTACCCTCACTCTCCAAGGGGGTGAGTTTCATCATTCCCGTGTGCTGCCATGGCTGGGGAGAGAAAAAAAAAATTATTTTATAGCTACACTCAGTGGGAGGTGGATAAACATCTTGCATTTCACAAATTACTAAGTCTTTTCTCTTTCCACGCAAGTACACGTAGACATACACACACTACCGTGATTAAAAAGTCCCATGTTATTGATAAAATATATTTGCTTTGGTAGCAATATACATTTATATTTTGCTGTAATATAAAATGAAATATATTTTTTTCTACTAAAGGATTTCTTTAATGTTTCTTCACCAACATATAAACCATATTAAATCCCTTAAACCCGCTCAAGTATATGAGTCCTGGAGGTGAATAAGAGAAAAAAATGATTTGGGGAAAAATTTTCAAATTAGAAAGAAAAAAAAATATTCTCTTTTGGGTTGTTTGTTTGGGACATCGGGTCCTAAAGTGGACCTCAGCAGCTGTACCCTATGAAACACAGCAACACGGCACAGTTAAAGGCACCTTCATTAAAGGGCGATATAGATGGAAATATTCTTTTTGAATATCCTTTGTACCTAGCCTGCTCTGCTACCCTTCTCAAAAACTCTTCAGAAAGTTTAACTTAACTCTTTGCAGGACACATTCTACAGATTTACTGTGTGTTTTTGAAGTCACACCCTGATCTACATAGATTTACCAAAGCACACCTCTTCTTGGAAATGAGAACTCCAACTGCAAGAAAATGCAGGGTGAAGCCATGGCTATGGGCTCGAAGTGTCTGTTTCTCCATCATCTTTTGATACATCCATCAGGCGCTTTTTGATGTGTGGTTCGGTTTAAGGTGCACTGGCCGGCTTCCCGTTCAGTAGCCCACCCTTACAGTCTGTAGCGTCATGCACCAAGCAGGGGCAGAGCAGCAGAGGCAGGGGCAGGTGGACTTTGGCAGAGGACTTTGGTCATCGAGTGGAGCACGCCCACCTGCCTCCTAGTGCTCGTGTTTGCAGGTGGTCAGGAGCGGCCTTTCTGGGAAGGAGAACCTGACCCGGAATGAGCCCTCCTGCTGGCTAATTGTCATCAGCACGCACAGGTGCGCCAGGTGTCTCGTCTTTAGTGTCTCGTCTTTAGAAAGCGCGCAGGGCTGCCTATTCCCCGCCAGGCTTCTGTGGAGGGCTGTCTTCCTTCTCCTGCTGCTCGGCCTGGCCACCCTTTAACCCACTCCCTCTGCCTTTGGCCCCCACCACCCCCCTTGCAGGGGTCAAGGTTGCCATGTTGCCTAATCCCATGGAAACTCTGCTGCCTCATTTCGTGTAACCTCCTTTGGCCTCTCCTGTGAAAATCACTGGCACGCTGTGCCAAAGGATGGGGCAGCTGGCGTCTCCAGGCTCGAGATAGGGCTGCCCACGCTTGGGTAGGGGTCAGGTGGAGCCCTGCCACAGGGGACACCCCATAGCCTTGCACTGGGCACACGGCTGGGCCCCCTTCGTCCACTGTCTGCAGTAACAAGGGGCAAAGAGACTGTTGGACGGGCTCTGCCTCAGATTTTATCTCACAGAAACATCAAGGCCAGTATTTGTCCCAGGCTCTGCTTTTTTTTTTTTTTTTTCTCCTACCATTTCCTCTGAAAAGCCAGATACCTAGCAGCATTATGGAAAAAAAAAAATGATTTCTCTGCAGTTAACAGTGTTCTGTCACTGCCACTAAACCCAGTACAAAAATCACCTTGTATTGTGGGTGAGATTCTCACCCTCCAGTAACTTTCGCCCAAGACGGCAACATAATTTAGTTCAGTTCTTATTCATCCTCAACATCGTCAACTCACCCAAACTTTTTGTGAATCATTCAGAGAATGCTTGTCATTAAAGCCCCGGTGACAGTAGCAACCCAAGTGTATTGTGTTGGAAATCAAGCAATGGCCTCAGGTTCCATTCATGCCCTGGGATGGACAAATCGACATCAATCTTGGCCACTGATGGTGTCTTACTCTTCTCTCATGACATGGAAATTGCAGCAAAAAGACATTGTTTATTCTTATTTAAGGTTTTTAAAAATTATTATTTCACAATAGTATGGGGGTACAACTGTTTTTGGTTACATGTATTGACTTTGTTATGCTTGAGGCAGGGTTGTAAGTGTGTCCATCACCCAGATAGTGTTCTTTGTACCTGTTAGGTAGGTTTTCACCCTCCTCCCTGCTTGATTTCTGCTGAGTTTAGCTTCCCTTTGTGCACACGTGTCCTCATCAGTTAGTTCCAATTCAATAGCAAGTACATGTGGTGTTTGTTTTTCTATTCTTTATATATTTTACTTAGAATAATGGTCTCCAGTTTCATTCAAATTGCTACAAAAGGCCTTAATCCATTCATCTTCATGGCTGCATAGTATTCCATAGTGTACATATACCACATTTTGTTAATCCACTCATAAATTGATGGGCAATTGGGTTGATTCCACATCTTTGCAATTATGAATTGTGGTGCAATAAACATTCATGTGCAAGTATCTTTTTGATAAAATGACTTCTTTTCCTTTGGGTAAATATCTGATAGTAGGCTTGCTGGATGAACTGATAGGTCTACTTTTAGTACTTTGAGGAATCTCCATGCTGTTTTTCATAGTGGTTGTACTAATTTGCAGTCCCACCTACAGTGTACAATCTTTCCTTTTTCTCTGCATCCACGCCAGCATCTGCTGGTTTTAGACTTTTTAATAAAAGCCATTCTATCTGGGGTAAGGTGATATCTCATTGTGGTTCTAATTTGCAATTCCCTGATGATCAGTGATGTTGAGCATTTTTTCATGTTTCTTGGCCATTTATCTTCTTTTGAAAAGCTTCTATTCGTGTCTTTTGCCCATTTTTTAATGGGTTTGTTTGTTTTTTTATTGCTGATTTGCTTGAGTTCTTTGTAGATTCTGGTTATTAGCCCTGTATCAGATGTATAGCTTGAGAATATTTTCTCCCATTCTGTAGGTTGTCTGTTTGTTCTACTGACTGTTTCCTTAGCTGTGCAGAAGCTTTTTTAATTTAATCAAGTCCCTTTTATTTATTTTTGTTGTTGCTGTGATTGCCATTGGGGTCTTTTTCATAAAGTCTTTGCCTAGGCTAATATCTAGAAGAGGTTTTCAAAGTTTTCTTCTAGAGTTTTTATGGTTTCATGCCTTACATTTAAGTCTTTGATACATCTTTTATTAATTTTTTTGAGTGGTGAGAGATATGGACCCTGTTTCATTCTTCTGCATGTGTCTATCCAATTTTCCCAATACCATTTATTAAGTAGGGCTTCTTTTACCTGTATATTGTTGCCTGCTTTGTCAAAGGTCAGTTGGCTATATGTGGATGGCTTTACATCTGGGTTCTCCCTTGTGTTACATAGGTGAGGAGAGAAATCACAGATGACACAAACAAATGGAAAAACATATCATGCTCATGTATCAGTAGAATCAACAGTGTTAAAATGTTCATACTACCCAATTGATTTACAGATTCAATGCAATCCTCATCAAAATATCAATGTCTTATTTCACAAACCTAGAAAAAATAATTCTACACTTCATTTGGAATAAGAAAAGAGCATGAATAGCCAAAACAATCTTATGCAAAAGGAACAAATCTGGAGGCATCACATTACTAGACGTCCAACTATATTACAAGGCTATAGTAACAAAAACAGTGTGGTATTTTTTAACGGTTTCTATGAAATAATATAACAACATAGAGGTTCTTTCATACTTGTAATGTTTTATCAATCTAGTTAATCTTTTACTATATTGCAATCTGTTAATGGACATGTTTTCCTGACTAAACATTTTTTTTCATACCTACATGTTCTGCTTCCAACAAAGCAATAAATTTCATTTGGTTGATACAAAGCAAATAGATTAAAAAGTCATGATAATTAAACAATGGTGTTGATTGATTTCCTCAGTTGTTCCAGTTTTATCTTCCATTTTTAGGTCAAGCAGACCCTCTGGATGACTATGTGAAAACCCAGGGGGCTTCCCTGTTTAGTGCCACCAAGAAGCAGCTAAGAACAGGAAGCATAAATGAATGTGCAGCAAAATGTGAGGAGGAAAAAGAATTCATTTGCAGGTATTTTCATTGTTGTTGTACCTAAACAGAAATCTATTATTTTGATGGCAAGTAATTTACTCATGGATTTATTAACAAAAACACCATTTGAGAGGAACTTACGGGATCAATGTTTGGAATTACATTTGTTCACAGTATCTGAAGTCATGCTCACAGCTTCTTGTTAAGGTTTATTGGTGTCCCCTTTAGAAAAATATCCTAAAAGGAAGTAATTTATTTCTATACATAACATAAACATTAGCAGCTATTGCTCTGAACTCTACTTTGTAACATCATCACCAGCAAAACATTTATGGAAGGTCATGTGAATAAAAGTGTCCTGGATAGATCTGAAGGGGCAAACAAGCATAGCTCCGAGATCCAGTGCCTGCCTTTTCATGTAGTCAAAGAAATCCAATATAATGTAAATAATGTGAAAAGAAGAATAAAAAGCAAGGTGAGGTACCCCGAAGTAGCCTAATCAATGCATGCTCCGCACAGACGCAGAGGAAAGAACAGCCCCTAAGGCTGAGGCAGCAGGGAGGAGGTGGGTTCTGAGCTGGATTCTGAGGGTGAGGGAGATCTTGCCAAGCAGGGACGGTGGGGAGGCATTCTGGGCAGGGGACAGGCAGGGCCCTGCCCCTTCTGGAAGGGACAATGTATAGACCACTTTTGCTAGAGCAAAGGCTTCGCCTTAGCCTTCAGCCTGGGAAGGTAGCCGCACTAGCTTTGAGCCCCAAGCAGAGCGTCCACAGCAGGACCGGGCGGATGGGGAAGGGAGGCGCAAGGTGAAGGGGCAGGTGGGACGTAGAGACAAAGGTGAAGGGGAACTTGCTGGAGTCCAGAAGTCACAGAGACAGACCATCTAGGGAAGGAGTTCAGGGCAATTGGGGTTGCTTCTTTCCAACCCCAAAACAAATATTCCTGTACTTAATTAAGGAAACGAGGGAAGAAAGAGCAAAGCAGCAGAAACAGAAAGAAAGAGAAAATTACGAGGGGGAGAAGGTAAAAGTACAAGGGAACAAGAGTGACCACCATGTGCTGGTGCATTATTTTCAGTACTTCATTGATGCTGTGCCACGATTCACCGAAAGGCGACAGTGCTGAGCTCCCTGATTCTTCATGAGATACAATGGTCTGTAGAGGGTCTTGCTAATAAACATTTGCTTTCCTTAAATATGGAAGCCCATTTACCGTATTTCCTGATTCCCCTGTGCAGGTCATTCCAATATCACAGTAAAGAGCAACAGTGTGTGATGATGGCTGCAAACAGCAAGTCTTCTACAATCGTGAGGATGAGAGATGTCGTTTTATTTGAAAAGAAAAGTGGGTACACTTGTTCTCCCTTTCCCTCCTTTTCCCTCTTGCTCCTTCCTCCCCCTCCTCCTCCTCATCTATATCTTTAATTTATGAGGCCAGAGAATGAAGGCATCATGGTGTCATGAAATTGAATTCTGAGTTAGGAAAGGATTTGGCCACTAACCAGACATGTCAATTTGAGTATATTATTTTCCCTCTTTGGTTTCATTTTTCTTGTTTGAACAATGAAGGGACTCAGTTTACAAAATTACTTCTACCTCTATGACCTGGAAAATAAGATATTTGAAATTTTATTTTAAGGAGGAGATGGAAAGTCTAAACATTCTTTATGACTTTGGCTTCTTGTTCTGCAGGGTGATCATGGTCCTTGGGCCCTAACTTCTACACTGAAGTTTGGTAAAACAGAAATCTCGAGGTGTTTTTAATCCTTAGTAACATTTGGATAGGGACAAAAATCCTTATTATTATTATTATTTTTTGAGACAGAGTCTCACTCTGTTGCCCGGGTTAGAGTGCCATGGCATCAGCCTAGCTCACAGCAACCTCAAACTCCTGGGCTCAGGCAATCCTCCTGCCTCAGCCTCCCAAGTAGCTGGGACTACAGGCCTGTGCCACCATACCCGGCTAATTTTTTTTTTAGTAGAGACAGGATCTCTCTCTTTCTCAGGCTGGTCTCGAACTCCTGAGCTCAAATGATCCTCCTACCTCGGCCTCCCAGAGTGCTAGAATTATAGGCGTGAGCCACTGCACCCAGCCAAAAAATCCTTATTTTTATTCTTAAATTTCCCACTGTTTTTTTCTTTTTTTGGGTGATGATCTATATTTTCCTCAGACTCTGAAATGTTGCCTTTTAAAAATGTACTAAAATACAAATGTTACAGTTCCTTTTCTATAGTTTCTTCTAAAATGTGGATCAATTGTTGCATCCTTTAGGATAAGAGGTGGCCTGGATTTTGGTGGAAGTTGCATGTCTTTTTAGATATGCAAAAGTTCCATGAAGTGGAACTTATGAAGACTTAAACGGATGTATGATGGTTTAACAACTATCTCCTATACTCTGTTGTTGGCTAGGTATTAAGACTATAATAATAACAATTTAGCTCTCCAAATATTCTGTATCACAGGTGCTAAAGAGGATAAGAAACATCCTAGTTCTTGTATTCTTGACAGTGACTTGCAACATTGTTTGCAGTCTTCACTGTAAAACTCTAAATGATTTTAAACAGTATTTCTTTAGGTTAGGATTATTTCTACGCATTGACACATCTTGGGTTCCATTAGCTGCATCCCATCCTTACCACTTTTTACCTCTAATTCTTGAGTTTAAATCTAAACCTTATCTGTTGAAGTTAGTGGTTCTGATAAATAGTGAATAAAGGATGAAATAAACAGGATCACTTACTGTCTACCAGATTTAAAAAAAAAAGCCTGTGGGATTATTCTCTCTACAAAACTCTACCATTTAAATATGTCATTTGTAAATTGTTAACCAGAAGGAACATGGGGATGATTGTTAGGCTGAGGCTGAAGTCTGAAGTTTGAATACTTAGTTTACTTGTTTTCAAGTTGATAGAGGGAGCCAAAGGTTAAACAAACTCTGGCGGGTACATGCAAACACAGCAGAGGCAAAAAGTCAAAAGTTAGTCAGTTTTTAGTGCTTGTTTCTTTACTGTGGAATCCTGACCTGCCTGGGTTTTGCTGGGAACAGTCTGTGTCAGATTACATTGACATCTGCCACTTGCCACCAGCCACCACCCGAATTCATCATGTCTGGCTGGAGCCACTGCAGTCGTGGGTCCCTCTGGTGGTAGGCACACAAGTGATCTCTTAGAAATGTACCTTTCCTGCTTAAAACCCTCCCTCACGCACTTAGAACAAGATCCCAATATGTCCCAAATGCCACAGGGCCCTGTGTTATTTAAGGCTCCCCAGGGCCGGTGTTTGCTTGGCCTGCTAAGCTTTTCTACGCTGGGCTTATTTCCGTTCCTCCAACATGCCAAGCACACACTCCTCCTGCCTGAGACCCTCTTCACCTCTGTCCGTGGGGTGCCAGCTCCTTCCCATCTCCCAGGTCTCGGCTCAGGCAGCACCTCCTTTTCCAAGTCTCTCCTCGACTCCTCATTTCCAGGTTGCTTATAATACTATGAGGTCAATGTTATATACATAGTTGTTATACTGTATATATATTTTTTTATTTCGGCATATTATGGGGGTACAAATTTTAAGGTTTCAATAAATGCCCTTTCCCCCCTCCCCCAACAAGTCTGAGTCTCCAGCATGACCATCCCCCAGATGGTGCACATCTCACTCATTATGTATGTATATACCCACCCTCTCCCCCCTCCCACCTGCCCAATACCCTATTACTGTAGTACCTATGTGTCCACTTAGGTGTTGCTCAGTTAATGCCAGTTTGCTGGTGAGTATATGTGGTGCTTGTTTTTCCATTCTTGGGATACTTCACTTCATAGTATGGGTTCCAGCTCTAACCAGGAAAATATAAGATGTGCTATATCACCATTGTTTCTTAGAGCTGAATAGTACTCCATGGTATACATATACCACATTTTATTAATCCATTCTTGGATTGATGGGCACTTGGGCTGTTTTCACAGCCTTGCAATTATGAATTGTGCTGCTATAAACATTCGAGTACAGGTGTCTTTTTTGTAGAGTGTCATTGGATCTTTTGGGTAGATGCCCAGTAGTGTTATTGCTGGATCAAATGGTAGATTGACTTGTATCGCTTTAAGGTATATCCATATTGCTTTCCACAGAGGTTGAACTAGTTTGCAGTCCCACCAGCAGTGCAGGAGTGTTCCCCTCTCTCCACATGCATTTATAGTTCGGAGACTTTTTGATAAAGGCCATTCTCACTGGAGTTAAGTGATACCTCATTGTGGTTTTGATTTGCATTTCCCTGATGATTAGAGATGTTGAGCATTTTTTCATATGTTCGTTGGCCATTCTTCTGTCTTCTTTAGAAAAGTTTCTGTTCAAGTCCTTTGCCCACTTTTTAATTTGTATTATTTTTATTATCGTATTGTCATTTTTTATTGGTTTTTTCGATCCACAGTTGTAGATCTGTGGTTGTAGAACCCGGCGGTACCCTTTCACAAAGTACCTTGAGTTTACACTTTTGATGAATATAATCCGTCTACTGTAATAACGTCTGATGAAGATGTATTTGCAATCATGATACGCAGTGTGGCGTTAAAAGCTTGAGTTTGCTTAGCTATGTCAGAAGTACTTTCCTCAGGTGATTGATCAATGAATTATAACCCTTGGCTAAAGTGTGTTATCTTACAGAGTGCTGCAGATATACCTTACCCATTATATAGTTTCATTGAGATCACAGGTTTACACAAGCATAAGCCTCTTTTGATTTGGAGCAGAGGTTTTTTTTCTTCGAACATGGGACCACTAGTGGGAGCTCTCTGGTGCACTTCTTGCATAAACTACGCCCTACTGAGTCAAGGACAATAATCATTTTCCTTATCTTTGAAGTGGAGAAAGATCTAGACATTTAACCAATCTGAGTGTACAATAACTTTAGATTTTTATGATTTTCCCCTCAAGCTTCTATAGCCAACTGCAAGAGAGGGAGGGTTGCCCTCCGTGGATTTGACAGCAATTTTTAGAACGACTGGACTCTTTCAACTCATTAAAAGCGTTCCACATAAAAACAAAACAGGCTCTTTTCATCTTCACTTCTCAGTTTAGACCATCCTTAATTAAATATAAGTGTGTAAGAAAGCTGGACCGTGGAAGCTAATGCCCCTTGGCGAGCACACGCGCACCTGGGGGGACAGGGGCGTGGCGGCTCCAGGGAGAGGCCTGCCCGCTGCGGGGCCGCGTCCTGCTCGCGCACCACGCGTGGGCCCCGGACTGCTTTGAAGACAGCAGGGAGCCCAGCGGCTAGGTGGAGGTCGGTGGAGTGAAGGTTGGTTGAGAGTGTTTACTGCGAGCATTGAAGTGGACCACAGTTTTGTAGCCCCTTCTGGCACTCTTTCAAGTCTCTGGGAGCCTGAGAAAACAGAAGTGGCTGGGATCTCTTTCAGCCCCCTGAAAAGCCTGCCGTCCCCCCCCCCCCCGTCTGAAAAGCCCCTCCCCAGTCTTTCACCCTCCTCATCACGTTGCTCGAGTTCTCCGCAACTCACACCGCCATGAGGTTCTCTCGTTTCATGCTTTGTTTCTTTGAAAACCTTCTGTGACCCTCCTGCCCGGCGCTGCTGGAACCTGCGCTCGGGCCTGGGCTCCTGGCGTCCTGGGCTCCGAGCTGGCGGGGCCGGTCAGTAGCGTCCGGGTAAACGCACCCAAGAACCAGGTGGCTCGGTGTCCTGCAGCCCGTCCGTAGATGTAGACGCTGGTGTCCAGATGGCAGGGACGTGGGGTCTGGGAGCAGGTTCTTTCTCTGGGCGCGACTGCACCATGCAGAAGGACCCTGACGCCGTGTGGCCGTCCTTTCAGTGTACCTTTCAGAGTGCAAGACCGGGAGGGGAAGGAACTACAGAGGCACGGTGTCCAAAACGAGAAATGGCACGACCTGTCAGAAGTGGAGCGCCAGCGTCCCCCACAGACCTAAGTAAGCCTTTCTCTTGTCTTTGTGTTCATCTGTGCTACAGTCGTCCCTCCGTGTCCGCAGGGGACTGATTTCAAGACCCCTAACGACACCAACATCTTAGGATGCTCAAGTCTCCGATATAAAATGACACAGTATTTGCATTATAACCTACATTTGCATACATCTCTCATACACTTTAAACCATTTCCAGGTTACTTGTAATACCTACTACGATGTAAATGTTATATACGTAGTTGTTATACTGTATTTTTTATTTGTATTATTTTTTATCATCGTATTGTCATTTTTTTTTTTGTTGGTCTTTTCAATCCACGGCTGGTTGACTCTGAGGATGTGGAGCCCGGGGATACAGAGGGCCGCCTGTATTTAGAATGATTCTATCACTTCTAAATCAAACCGGAATATGTGAATGAGCAGATAGAACCTTTGCGATGCTGATATAGAATTGATGATGTTCAATTGTTTATAGCACAAAAGTGGAAAATGGTTTTTTTCTGTTTATTCTTGTGTGTAGAGTTTTTGGGGAGACCTAGAACATGGAAGCGAGCTTAGCTAAAAAGAACAGTGAAGCCATGAGTTCCAGGCTGAGTCTGAGGAAAGACCAGAGATGACTATGTTTAGGCCTGAGTTAAACATGTCAAACATTTCAAGTTGGGACTCTCTTCACCTCAGCATTGTGGACCAAAGAGAGTAAATAAAATATAAAAATGAGACATACATGAAATATAAATATGGTAGCTTGCCTGTTTTTTTATTTTAGTGTCCTTCTTTTTGCACTTTCCCCGGTGTAGTGTCAGATGGCTGTAAGTTCTCAGTAATGATGCTCATCGAATAGGAATTTAGTGTCCGGTACTCGGGACACCCAACACCAAACAGACTGCCTTGGCTGCATCCCTATGAGATGAGCAGATCGAGTCTTCCCCGTTTGGTAATGTGAAACGATTCGGCCGAATGGCCAAATCATACGATGTCAGGTGCCTTAGAGACAATCTTGGCTGATTTGACATGATGGTCTAGGCTCATCTTTATGAGAACGCTGAGGTCCTGGGTGGGTGGGGGTTGCCCAAGACATGTACACAGAAGAGCCAGAAATAAAACCTGTCTTCTAGACTCTAAGTCCTGTGCGTTTCATCTAATTTGGTATCTCTATGCAGCAACTCAGCTCTAGAGCTGAAATCGAGTTCAACTCCCTTCTTCATCTGCATTATTTTAATAATTTAGGCTGCATTTCAGAGAAAAGTCAGCCTTTAGAATCAGATAGATCAACTTTGAATTCTCGATCTTCCCCTTATTAGTTGTTCAAGCTTGTGCAAGTTTCGTTTTTTTTTTTGTTTTTTTTTTTTTTTACGTTGCCATACTCAGTCTTCTCTTCCAGAAAATAGGGATAATAACACCTTCCTGCTAGGGTTTTTTATTAAGACTGAAAGAGAGAGCATATAGAAAGATTTTAGTATGGTATCTAGCACATATATTCACACAGACAAAATGCTATTAGCTACTAGTGTTTTTACAGAGAAAGAGCAGCTGGACAGCAGCAGGTGTTTGGGAAGGAATCAAGGATTTGGGTCTTGGGTTTTGAGGCCTTTGTATTTCTGCTGACTCTTTAATAAAAATACATTTTTCTCTGTATTTAAGACTTGGCTGTCAATACAGTAGTAATGACAATGTCAGCTCCTGTACCCAAAGAAGCCTATCAATAGAGACATTGAAACCTGACCCCACAAGTGCTACAGCACATGGATGAAATGCACTGGGGTGCATCTCTTGCTGCACTGCTGGTAGCATGCTGATTTTCAGAACACAGTCAAAGTGCTTCTTCTCTGTCACCCACAGTTATTCCCCTGATGCGTACCCCACAGAGGGGCTGGAGGAGAACTACTGCAGGAACCCAGACGACGACGAGCGGGGACCTTGGTGCTACACCATGGACCCAAACCAGAGATTCGGCTACTGCGATATTCCTGAGTGTGAAGGTCAGGGCTGGCCCTAGAACATGTTTCCATATCTGCCCTTCACCTTAAAGTAATTTGCTGCAAAGCCATTTCCCTCTGGGACATTATTAATAATCAATTACTGCCATGCACGATGAAATTGAGTAAGTATTCACCTCTTGGAAAGGGGCAAAAATTTGCTCAGACCCCGACTATTGACCTGAATTATTTTTTTTTATGAAAATGACTCTTCAGGGCGAGTGCAGTGGCTCATGCCAGTAATTCCAGCGCTTTGGGAGGCCGAGGCAGGAGGGGCGCTCGAGTCCAGGAGTTTAAGATGCCAGCCTGGGCAATATAGTGAGACCCTGTTTCTACAAAAAAATAAAATAAAAAAATTTAGTTGGACATGGTAGCATGCACCTGTAGTCCCAGCTACTGGGGAGGCTGACACAGGAGGATAGCCTTAGGTCAGGAGTTCAAGATTGTGGTGAGGTACAATGATGTCACTATACTCTAGCCTGAGCAACAGAGTGAGACCTAGTCAAAAAAAAAAAAAAAAAAAAAAAAAAAAAAAAAAAAAAAGAAAGAAAGAAAGAAAGAAAGAAAGAGAATGTTACTTCAACATGTACAAATATAAAACTAGGTCTAAATTCTAGACACAGCTTCTTATGCTTAAAACTCTTCCACAGTATAAAACCCCAAATTTACAATTAAATAATTAAAGTAAAACCATGAAATCAATACAATTCAAATGAACACCATTAATTTAATGTGGTAGACTCTGTAGTTGAGTTGGAGCCAAGCAATGAAATCAGCTTTTAAATCAGCAATCTATTATTTTAATGGACCAACCAACTTAACAGTGCACTTTAAAGGTCAATGTTAAAAATGTTAAAAATGTCATATGGAAGAAACTTCTTCATTTCATATTTCTGCCTGCATTTATCAGTGCAAGGGGGAATAGGTAAGGGTGGGATTTATGCGAGCGACAACGTGGATATCGTGCCTTGTGACAACTCAGTTCTCCCTTCACTTTTATCTACCTGAACTACGGGGATCCTTTATTTGTACACTGTCATAGGTCCTCTGGCCTTTAAGTGTCCTGAATGTATCGTTTTGTGTTAAGCCTGTCCCTGTTTTCCTTATTACCCTAGAAGAATTTAAGTCACATAATATATTACTCTGCCTCGCCATAGGACTCCAATAATTCTAAATCAAAGATTCATTTTCTGAATAATTTAGGAAAGCGAAAAACACCCCGCCATGCTTTCTCAACAATATATAAAGAGGAGCGCTGTCACTTCAGGCGAATCTTGTTCTCCCAGGAGGCCATGAGCACAATCAGAAACTCCAGCACTGCAGCCCTGAAACGGTGCCAGCTCACTCGGCAGGCATCTGAATGATCAGAATAACTTCCTCTCCCTCTTTCTTCCCCTCTCTGCCCAGAGGAATGCATGCACTGCAGTGGGGAAAATTACCAGGGCAAAGTTTCCAAGACCATGTCCGGACTGGAGTGCCAGGCCTGGGACTCCCAGAGCCCACATGCCCATGGATACATTCCTTCCAAGTAAGTCTCCCGGGGAAGGACATTCTGCGTTTAAGACTCTGCAGCTCTCTCGGACATTTCCTCTTATTTAGAATATTTAGATATTTTCAGCATCCCTCCAGAAGTGAACACTTGCTGTTTTTGAATTTCAAAGTTAGCATCCTCCCACAAGACTGCAAGGGAAGTGTACGTTCTTACTACCCAAAACGTGGTCCCTGGATGGACCAGCAGAGGTGACACCACCTGAGGGTTTGTTACAAAGGCAGAATCTCAGACCGTCTGAATCTGAATTTGTGTTATAACCAGATCCTTGGCTGACTTGTACACACATTGAAATCCTAACATGTGTGCGAACGCATTGAAATCTGTACTGAAAGATACAGGTACCTCTGGCTTGTGTATTTTCCAAATATTTCCCTCTTTTCCTTTCTTTTATTCTGATGAGATTCAAGGCGTCCTAATCTATCAGCTATGGGTGTACATCGTGGATTTTGTGAGTCCCCCGATGTTTTATGTGTGTTTATATCTGTGCATTTTTCCAGGACGAGGATTCATGACTTCCACACGATTCTCAAAGGGGACCATGAATTTAAAGCAGGAGTAAGAGACCCTGCTCTAGAAAGTCATGACGATGGCTAGAGTAAGGTTTTGTGCATATTCTATTTCACATTAGCCGTACTGGAAACACTTCTCACTCTGTAGCTGCTCCTGGTCTTTCTCTTCCTTCTATGGTAACTGCAGGACCAGAACAGAGCTCCTAGCTCATAAGAGATGCAGAAGTGAGGCTAAGCCACAGCTTCCATTGTGGAAAACAACTCCGCTCAATGTTTGCACTTCCCCTTCCGAATAGCTGGCTGTCCACGCAGCAGTTGCCATCCTGCAGAGATACAGTAAAGGCCTCAAGGCCTCAACCTGGGTAAATTCACTGCAGGAAACCAGAAGGAGAAGAGGACTGCTTAAGCCACTGCTGGCTGCTCTGTGCATCCCCACTAAGCCTTTACAACCTCAGAGAGGGAGGGAATAAGCCCAGAGGGCCACCAGGTGTAGCGTGCATCCTGACCATAACCTGAGCCACCCTGTCCCCCCTCTGAGGGCCAGCGCTCGCAAGAGCATCGCTTCTCTCTGGCTTTCTCTCAGCTTCAGGGCTGGCAGGGCCAGAGTCAAGTGGATCAGCAGGACTATTCCTTTAAGCCATGAAGATGCCAACTTCTTGGCTGTGTTATGTACCAAATGACTATGTTAGGCAGTGAGCACTTTGTATTTTAAAAATTGCCATCGTTTGCAGCTGAATAGCTGGAGTTTGCTTACATCAGTTTTCCAGATGGCCAAAATGATAAGGTTATACTGATGCTGTTGAGTGATTTCTACACATGTAAACTCTTAGGAAACAGCCTGTAGCGGCCAGGCATGAGGCAGAAGGCTCTCTGGAGCCCAGGACTTCAAGGCCAGCCTGGGAAACATAATGGGGAGCACCACATCCCCCATCCTCGGTTTCTAAAAATGAACAAAAGCCCTTAGAATTCTGAGCCAATCTTTCTTCTTTGAGGACGGCCTGCATCCAGTTACCTTGGTGCCTGACTGTGCCTGGCACACAGCAGGTGCTCAATGTTTGCTCACTACAAAAGATTCCCATCCATGAATGTAAATGCTCAGTGCTGTTGAAACCCTCTTGCCCATTCAGATTTCCAAGCAAGAACTTGAAGATGAATTACTGTCGGAACCCTGACGGGGAGCCCCGCCCTTGGTGTTTCACCACCAATCCCAACAAGCGCTGGGAGCTCTGCGACATCCCTCGCTGCAGTAAGTACCGGCACTACTGGCCCTCCACATCCTGACCTGCTCTGGTCTGAAAATCAAAAGGAAAACATGCATCGGTGCAGAGTGCAGTGCCTAAAGTGACCTGCAAGTCCAGTGGGATCTTACGGCTCTTTCAAAACAATTTAGTGGTTCCTGTAGGTAATTGATCAGAGTATCCGTGTATTATGTTTTTGTTTTTGTTTCTTCCTATCAGAGACTTCTGCCTCTTATGAGTACATGTAGTAAATGTGGGTTCTGGGCTGGTATCTCTGGTATTCTACTCTTCGCTACAGGGGAATTGGACCCATGCTGTCTGGTACATGGAATTGATTATCAACCAGGGTTCTGTCCATTGCCTTGTAAACAAAGGAGTGTCAGTGAATGTCCAGTGTTCAGTATGCCCAAGTCGGGCCCTGCAGGGGAGGAGAGTTCAGGAGGAGAAGATGAAATGGCAGACCCAGCAGACGTGTCATGGAGAAAGCAATTTTATAATATTTTCCTTCTCTGAGAATCTGAAGCAAAGGATTAGAAATGTAGACAACGACAATCATCACAAGCTAAACAGGATCCGGTGAGGGCTGGTTTACCCTCCTTTGCTCTGAAAATCATCCTTTGGGGAGCTCAGGTATTCCCCCTCTTTGTGAACATCAGTTTCTCTTTTCCTTCTTTTTTTTTTTTTCCTCAAGAACGTTTTGATTTCTGGATGCACACACTTTTCCCTGGACACATATTTTGCCTTCGTTGCACGGACTCCTTCTCTGTCGTTTGGCTTTGTGGGCTATGGGGTGTCATTCGGTTATGTGTACTCAGTGAGTAATTTACTCTCCACAAAAGAGCGTGGACCACTGGCATACGTAAGGATCTGCGGTGCGGGTGACACAGGCCGACATTCCCTGTGCGTGACGAAGTGAGCATAGAAAGCAGCGTCTGCCCACGAGTCTATTTCTGGAGGAGTTCCCCACGAAAGGGTCTTGCAGGCACAGGTCCTGCTAACCTGATTTCTTCTGAAAATGCTGGACAACTCTCAAGTGCCAGATTCCAAGTCAGGCTGAGCAGAGAAGGAGATCTCCCTAACACCCTTCGGTGCATTCTTTATTTGAAAATGTTCATCGTGTAATAGTTCATTTTCCCCATTCAAGCAACACCCCCGCCGTCTTCCGGGCCAACGTACCAGTGTCTGCAGGGAAGAGGCGAAAGCTATCGTGGGAAGGTGGCTGTCACCGTGTCGGGGCACACCTGCCAGCGCTGGAGCGAGCAGATCCCTCACAGACACAACAGGACGCCAGAGAACTTTCCCTGCAAGTAAGTCCCCTCTGGTCTCATGCCCTCTCTGCTGCTGCGGAATGAATGATTGTGAAATCCCGTTGACTGTGCCTTAGTTTTAGTTCCTACAGGATCCCGGGGTTAAAGCATCCTCGAGTGAAAACCGACCGCGTCATATGCGAGGGGAGTGAAATTCAGCACAGTTTCCCCCCTGACACTTGTCTTCAAAGTGCGGTTTCCCAGGCCAGCGGCATCAGCATCACCACAAGTTTGTTAGAAATGCAAACTCATGGGGCCTGTTCCAGACCTGTTAACTCAGCAGCTCTGGGGATGGGCCACGGCAGTGTGTTTTGACAAGCCCTCCATTGAATGCACTCTGAGCTTTGAGGACCACTGCTCTGTAACCCTCAAATCCCAGGCCTGGGCTGCATACTCATAGAGGCAGGAGTAGAGTGGAAAACATCCCTTGCATTTCGAGGGTACAGCCTAGTGCCCGACACATTGAAAAAGACCTATTTCACTTGGCCATACAAAGCCAGGGAGTATATTTCAACCATTTAACCCAAGAGGAGCATCTGGGCCATGATTCTAAGGAATCGTATGAAATCCTAGGCTGCTTAAGCTTCCTTCTGGGGCCTCTTACTCAGTTTGTGTGACTCTAGACTGTCAGCTGGGTGTGCATCCAATACCACCGTAAACAAGCATGTATGTGTGCACCTTGTTTATTTAGCCTTTTTGGAAAGCCAAACTCATAATGACTTCCCCCCCACCCCCCCAGGAATCTGGATGAAAACTATTGTCGTAACCCGGATGGAGAAGCAGCCCCGTGGTGCTACACAACCAACAGTGCAGTGAGGTGGGAATACTGCGAGATTCCAGCCTGTGGGGCCTCTCCGTTATCCATAGAACACCTGGATGCTTCAGGTACGAAGGGCTGTGAGAGCTTACTGAGGGCCCAAACACCCTTAGTAGTTTAATTCTCCAGTGCTGTCATCACAACGTGCTGTGGCTTCGTTTACTTTAATTCTGTTGTGGTCCGAGAACATGGTCTGTGTGATTTCAGTCATTTTTAAATTTGTTGAGGTTTGTCTTATGGTTCAAAATATAGTCATCTTGGTGGATGTTTGCCGTGCCCTTGAGAAGAACGTGACTCCTGCTGTTGTTGGTAGGGTGTTCTCTGACGGTCAGTGAGGTCAAGGTGATCGTTAGTGCTGTTCTCACCTATCCTCACCGACTGCCGTCCCCCATTCTATTGCTTTCTGAGGGATGAATGGCGACAGGTCCAACTTTAGCTGTAGGTTATTAGTCTGTTTCTCCCAGGTTCTAGCTCTGTTTGGTTTCTGTATTTTGAAGCTCTATTGTTGGGCACATGCACATTTAATATTGTCACGTCGTCTTGACGAAACGACCCCTGTCATCGTTATGTAATAATACTTCTCGTCTCTAGAAATATTTCTTGCTCTGAAGTCTATTTTTGCTGATGTGAATTCAGCCTTTGCAGCTCCATTTCACTAGTATTTGTCTGATATATCTTTTCTCAGCTTTTTAATTGAGATGTTTATACTATTTGCATGAATGTAATTGTTAATATGGTTGGATTTAAATCTACCATGAAGTTAGGCATATTTTTCTCTATCCTACTTGAGTTTTATTTCTATTTTTGTCTTTTTCCACTTCCATTTGAATTGAAGTATTTTTATGATTGTCTTCTATCACCGCTATTTACTTACTAGGTAAATCAGTTTTAATAGTTTTAGCGTTTTCTTTAATGTTTACAATATATATCTCAAACTTATCACATTCCACCTACAAATAATCTTACTCTAGTTTGTTGCTGTATGGTATAAGAACCTTAGGACTTTGTATTCCTATTTCCTTCCTCCCACAATGTTGTGTTATCGTCCTTTCTAAAAGAATCTTACTTCTATCATGTTGTAAACCTACATTGACACTATTTTTGCCCTGAATGGTCAGTTGTGTTTTAAAGTGACTATAAATAAAAAATATTTTTTACATTTTTTTACTTATTTATTTTGCCATTTCTAGTGCTCTACTCATTTCTTTGTGTAGATCCACATTTCCATCTGGTGTCACATTCCTTCTGTAAAAACTCAAACTAGCACGAGACTGTTGCTGATGAAGTGTTTCAGTTTCTGTCTGTATGCAAAATCTTATTTTGCCTTTAGTTTCTAAAAATAATTTTGCTGGATATAAGTACCGATGTGATAGTTTTATTTACTTTACCACTTTAAAGGTGATACTCCATTATCTTCTGTTTTTTCCTTCTTCCTACATATTCAATATTTCTTTTTTATCTGGCTGCCTTTAAGACTTTCCCTCATCTTTGTTTTTCAGCAGTTTGACTATGGTGAATCTGGGTGTGTTTAATTTTTTTTTTTAAATTATGCTTGTGTTTTCTGAGCTTCTTGGATTTGTGGATTGTGATTTTCATTATGTTTTAAAAATTCTTAGCCATTATCTGTTCAAACATTTCTCTTTTCCATTCTTTCTCTCTCTCTCTTCTCCTTCTTGGACTACAGGTACCCAAATGTTACGCCACTTCATATTGTTTCGTAACTTTTGAATGTTTTCTCTGATTTTTTTTCTTCAATCACTCTTTGTTTCCTTAGTGTGTGAGTTTGGATAATTTCTATTAACCTATTTTCAGGTTCACTGATTTCCTCAGTTCTGTGTAGTTTGCTGATTAGTTTGCCCATTGAAAGGATTCTTCATCTCTGATACCATGGTTTTCATGACTAGCAATTTCATTCTACTCTTTTTTAGACTTTCTATCTCTTTGCTGAAATTCTCCATCTATCCATGCATGATGTCTACCTTTACCACAAGATTCTTTAACATTTAAATCATGATTAGTTTCATGATTATCCCACTCAGATAGTTTCTACATGGAGTCATCTCTGAAGCTGGTTGCTTTATTACTCAGTGGTGTTGTTTTATTTTTTCCTTTCTCTTTTTGGTGTGTCTTGTAATTCTTTAACCAAACGCTGGACATTGTGAATAGAACACCAGTATAGATTGCAGTAAATATTGTTTATACCTTGAAATGGGCACTCCTCTTCTTTTGTCAATATGGCCTGTGGGTAGCTGAGTCAATGTGGTCTGCAGATGAACTCAATTTGGGCTTTGTTGTTGCTCCTTTTACAGCACGTGCACCACAGGTTTCAAATTCCTCCAGCGATGGACTGCTCTTACCTCGTGCTTACAGTGGGGTCTGGGGTGCTGAAGAGTTTTCTCGGTGTTCCTAACCCACTGTCAGATTTTAGCAGTCACTCCATGCTCACACCACGTGGGGCATCTCTCCCTACGCTTAATTTGACCCCACTGATAGACTGCTGTTTCTTGGTATTCAATGCTCAGTTTTTGGCAAAAGTGAGCAAATTCTCTATCTCCCTGATCTACCACACTTGTGGGTAGGCTCTGGGCACCTAGGCTTTGGTAGTAGTGATTTCTCAGTGTTCTTGCTTCTCCTTGTCATGGAACTTGTATGGGTGGAGGGCCTGGAGTGGAAGAGTAGCAGGCTTCTGCCTTGTGTCAATGCAGGACCCTAGGCAAGAGGGTTCCTTGTCTCTCCTGCAGGGGAAAGAGGTTTTTGCCTGTACCCCTGTCTGAGAAACGATGGATCTTTGCCTGCAGTCCGAGATGCAGCACCAATTCCGGCTCCATCTCCCAGAAGCTTAAGGCTCTGGCTTTGCATGAGCAAATGGTGTGGGGAAATGTCCAGAGGTTTCAAGTATGACCGCCCACTGACAGCCATGCTTTCTGACTTGGCTGTTTTTCCCTTAGTTTTAAATTAAATATTCCCAAGAGAAGCTAGGTTATTAAAGTTCTAGAATGCTATGAATTTATTGAATCTTTTTGCATGTCCATCTGCCTGCTAATATGGAGAAGAGAACAGTAGTAATCCCCAGAGATTCATGAGCTGATTTTTGTTATGAATCACTTCACGTTTCCCTGTTTCAGTCTTTGTTAAGCTTGATATCTTCTATTTTAATTTTAGCACCGCCTGAGCAAACCCCTGTGGTCGAGGAATGCTACCAGGGTAATGGGCAAAGTTACCGAGGTACATCATCCATCACTATCACAGGAAGGAAATGTCAATCTTGGTCGTCTTCGACACCACATTCACATAAGAAGACCCCAGAAAACTACCCAAATGCGTAGGTCTTTGATTTTAACCATTAGAGGAACAATGGCTGACATAAGTTTCTCTTAGAAGAGCTATGTTTTAAGCTAACTCCTTAGGATTGTATTTCTCTTAGAGCCAGACTCTGAGGCAAAATGTGCAGGAAGCTTGCTTTGGGGTTAGAGGTCTGACGAAGAGAAATTATAGACTGTCCACCGTTCCTGAGTAGTGTTGTAGGGACAGGGGATACATGGAAGTGGTGAGGCCACATTAATGCAAAACTCAGGAGGACAAATGACCACACACTTGGGAACAGGACCATGCCACCACACCACGAAAGGTCATTGCAATCTTTCCACCATGGAATCCTGTCATTCCAGCTTCCAACCCCTGCAGTTTGGGATTCCTAAGGCAGCTGGGATTTGGTAGGCTGGGTAATAATGAGAGAGGATCTGTGGAGAGAAAGAGCTCCAGGAATACGCACAGAGGTCTCTTCAAGTCTTTGGCAAAATAGAAAGCTGCAGGTGTACTGGGAGATATCACACAGAGGAAGTAGGACAAAGAACAACTGCTGGGCAAAGAACAGCTACCTGGGAGCAGTGAGCTAAATGGAGATTACTGAGCTTCCACAGCACTGGGAGCTATTTGAGTTCTGCCTCGCCACAGAAGAGAGTCCTCATTGAACATCTTGGGCATTCCATAGAGACCCCAGAAAAGCCATGCTTTAGGGGTAGGAATTGTGTATTCCTAGAAGAAAGGCTACTCTAGAAACACCCTAGCAAAACTCAAAAGCAAGCCTAAAATGGCCAAAATGATCTCCAAGTAAATTAACTGCCTTCCAGAAGAAAAAAAACCACTCTATAGAGGTAAAAAACAAAATCAAGTTGCTCAGTAATGTGGCATCCACAATGTTTGACATAAATTTAAAAATTTCCTAGATATGCACAAAGCATTAAGTGTGATCCATAATGAGGAGAAAAATCAGTCAATACAAACAGACCCAGAAATGATAGAATTGGCAGAGCAATTTTTAAAATATTCATTTGAATATTCATATTCACTTGAATATGAATGTTATATAAATACATATTCTTCCCCCCCAGAAAACAAATAAAACACTGAAAAAAGTTTTCACCATCATGTCTATTCTATAAAAGATGTTAAATAAAAGTAAGACCAGATGGGAACTTTAATCTACGCTAAGTAATGAGAAACCTTGCAAATAGTAAATGTAAAAGATTTTATTTATCTCACTTCTTTATTTATTAATTTCTTTAAAAAATATTTGACTACTTGAAGCAAAATTAAAACAGTATGTTTTCATTTTAACATATGTTAAAATTTGAAAACAGTAGCATAAATAATGTAGGGGATAAACAGAATCATACTGTTGTAAGTGTCTTGCATTCTTCATGAAGTTATGTAATATTAATACATGGTTGAATATGATAGTTTAAAGAGGGACTAAAAGTATTTAAACTTACAAGAATAGATAATAATAAGAATATTCAATTAAATTAAAAGAAGTAAGAAAAGGAAGAAAAAGAATACAGGAGATATGGTACAAACAGAAAACATGTAGCATTGTGGTAGACTTAAACTTATCCACATTGAAAGTATATTAAATGTAAAAAGATTAAACATGTCAATTAAAAGGCAGAGATTGTCAAGTTGAATAAAAACCAAAGCTCAATCATGTTCTCTTAACAAGACATGCTCTTGACATGCAAAGACAGTCATTAAAAACCAAAGTAGGGAAAATGATACACCATTGAAACATGAATGAAAAAAAGCTGGAATAGTTATGTTAATATCAGACAAAGTAGATTTCAGGACATGAAATAATACCAGAGATAAAAAGGATGGTTCATAAGTAAAAAGGGCTCATTTATCAAGAGAAAACAATGCCAAATGTGTTGTACCGTAATAATACAGCTTCAGATACAGGAATCGAAAGCTGACAGAACTGAAGAGATAAGTCCACAATGATAGTTGGAGATTTCCTTACTTATCTCTTAGTATAATTATAAATCCTCTCCAAACAAAATATAATAGAACAAATAGACAAAAAATCAGAAAAGATATAGAAGTTTTAATGGAAAATACTCTATGTAATACTATGCCAAATTACAGAACACACTTTCAAATGTGTGTGGAGCATTCACCAAGATACACCATATGCTTGGCCTTAAAACAAATCTCAATAAATTACAAAATATTGAGATAATACCAAGTATGTTTTCTGACCACAACTGAATTAAATGAGATATAAATAATGAAAAATTGAGGGAATTTCCAAATATTTGGAAATTAAGCAACAAATTTCTAAATAATCCGTGAATCAGGAAGACATCATGAAGGAATGAGAAATGTTTTAACTGAATAATAATACAAACACAATATATCAAAATTTGTGGAGTACAGTGAATGTTTTTAGGGACTTATAGCTTTAAATGTTCTCATTAGAAAATGGAAACATTTAAAAATCAATGATTCAAGCCAACAGTTCTCGAAGTGTGGTCTGGAGAAACCTGGGGATTCCTGAGACCCTTTTAGAGAGTCTCTGAAGTTAAAACACTTAAAAAAAAAGATTGTATTTGCTTCTTTCACTTTCATTTTCTCACAAGGATATAGCAGAATTTTCTAGAGGCTACATAATATGTAACGATATCATCTCTCTGATGGCTAATGAAATGTGCGAATGTGTATTCTTACATTTTAAAAACTTCTCATTTGTAGTAGATGCAATATGAGTTAATAGTGTATACCAACAAATCTAAAGCTCTTTGGGATCTGCAATACTTTTTAAGAGCGTAAAGGGATCTTGAGACCAAACTCATTGAGAAGTGTTGATCTAAGATAACAACTTAAGGATCTAGACAAGGATATGCAAATAAAACCAAAAAATAAGCAGAAGAAAGGAAATAATAATAATAAAAAAGAAACTCAATGTAAAAGAAAATAGATACACAAATAGGTCAGTGGAACAAAAAGTTGGTTGTTTGGAAAGACCGATGTAGTTGCTAAACCTCTGGCTAACGTGGTCATGAACGCAGGTGACAGTACAGTCACCTCCTTCAGGTACAGAAGTAGAGAGGAGGCGACACCATAGAACCCTTCTGATATGAAAAGATAAGAAAATATGAAGAACAACTTTATATTGACTAATGCAACAACTTAGGTTATATGGACTAATTCCTTATGAAAAACAAATAAGTAAATCAGACAATGAATAAATTGATTTCTTTAACAACCTAAAGAAAATATGGGTATATATTCTTTAATATATTAGTATATATCAATATATCAAAAAAAACTTCCTACAGAGAAAACTCCAGGCCCAGATGGCTTCACTGGAAATTTTATCTGGTATTTTTTTTTTTTTTTTTTTGAGACAGAGTCTGGGTCTGTTGCCCGGGCTAGAGTGCCGTGTCGTCAGCCTAACTCACAGCAACCTCAAACTCCTGGGCTCAGGCAATCCTCTGCCTCAGCCTCCCAAGTAGCTGGGACTACAGGCATGCACCACCATGCCCAGATAATTTTTTCTCTATATATATTTTTAGTTGTCCAGATAATTTCTTTCTATTTTTTAGTAAAGACGGGGTCTCGCTCTTGCTCAGGCTGGTCTCGAACTCCTGACCTTGAGCAATCCACCCGCCTCTGCCTCCCAGAATGCTAGGATTACAGGCGTGAGCCACCATGCCTGGCCATTTTATATGGTATTAAACAAGGAAATAACTCCAATATTTTACTGTCTATCACAGGAAATAGAGGAGAGGACACTTCTCAACTCAGTTTGCGAGGTCAAAAATCTCAGATACAAAAAAATAGACAAGGGTATGACAAGAAATTATAGAACATTATCTGTTGTGAACATAAACACAAAAGACTTAACAAAAAATTAGTAAATTCAATCCAGCAACATATAAAAGAATTTTTTAACACCTACAGCTGCTTGGAAACTCGCTGATTGGCTTTCCTGCCCGTGGGCCTGGGCTTGAGACGTGCCGCGTGCCTGCAGTATCTGCAGACTCAGTGTTGCACCCCCATAGCACATAACAGCACGCAGGTTTTCTCAGACAGTGGCAGGCCACTCATAGGCATTGCAGGAGGTTCCGAGGCTGAAGATTATGAGAGGTTGGACAACGTTCTTGGGAAGCCCAAGGGCATTGCATCCTCTAGGGCTCCCCAGGATCCTCCCCCGCTATGTCTCTTACTCAAGCTTCTCTGACTCCTCCATCACCAAGCAGCTGCCTTAGGATACCCAGCTGCCTCCCTTTGTCCTTCCCGTCTCACTGTTCCTTAATGTCAGCCCCATCGCCTCAGCCTCGAGTGGCTGCTGCCAGCAGGGGGTGGGCTGGGAGCAGGAGAGGACCTCCTGGCCAGGAATGTGGCCACAGAACCACAGCCTGCCTGGGGGCTGGTTTTAGAGGCCAGCCTTGTATATAAGTCTTTCAAATCCAAACCCACTTGATCTACCCAATGCCGTATTTATAGTGACAGTATTTTCATGAGTGTCCTTCATTGGTAAATGTACAGCCGTTTAGCTACACTACGAGTAAATAGACTAAGAGGGATGCCTGGCAATGTTATCATCTTATGTATCATTTCTTCCTTGGGGCAATATGTTTTAGTTCCAACTTACATATCATTATATAGTCAGAGAAAGAGAGAGAGAGATAGTGACAGACACAGATTTGTAGCTCCATAAAAATCTAACATACACACTTCTAAATCTGTATCAGTGGGAGGAATATATCTACAGAATGTGGAAGCAGGATATTCTGACACTTTCTTTTTATCTATTTACAGATTGTCTCAGTTTTCAAAGGGAGCATATATTACTCTTGATTTCTTAAAATAAAAATAGTCACCTCGTTTTGAAATTTACACAGTTGTTTAGAAGTTAAGGACTGTTTGTGCCTGTGGCATTACTACTGTTCCTTTCGTGGGAACATTGCCAAGTCACTTGCTAACATTTTGTCATAACAAAATTTAGAGGGTGCCGGGTGCCCCCAAAGATTGTCCTGTCCCTTGTGACCTGTATTATTCTGGAATTTACAGTGGCTTGGAAATGAACTACTGCAGGAATCCGGATGCCGACAAAAGCCCGTGGTGTTTCACCACGGACCCCAGCGTCAGGTGGGAGTTCTGCAACCTGAAGAAATGCCCAGACGCAGCAGGGGGTGTCGCTGCACCCCCGACTCTCTCCCAGGTCCCAAGTGTACAGGCTTCCTCTGAACAAGGTAAGACGTCCCTGGCCACACATCTACGTATGTGGACCTTGGGATGGAAAGGGATAGAAGGTCTTTCTGATGCAGAAGGCTTCCATGTTACGCGGGCATCCGAGTGCTGCCACGTGGAAGGAAGACCCGGCGTTCTCTCTGGGGGAGCCAGAGCTGTTGTTTTTGGTATACTGTGGGTGAGCGGAGATTTTAGGGCTTGTGCAAATCCTCCAGGGTGCTTGACTTACCATTCACCTTGTCATCAAACTGGTTATCTTTTTTTTTTTTTTTTTTTAAGACAGCGTCTTGCTCTGTTGCCCGGGCTAGAGTGCCGTGGCGTCAGCCTAGCTCACAGCAACCTCAAACTCCTGGGCTCAAGCGATCCTCCTGTCTCAGCCTCCAGAGTGGCTGGGACTACAGGCATGCACCACCACGCCCAGCCACGTTTTTCTATTTTTAGTTGCCCGACTAATTTATTTCTATTTTTAGTAGAGACGGGGCCTTGCTCTTGCTCAGGCTGGTCTTGAAATCCTGAGCTCAAGCGATTCTCCTTCCTCGGCCTCCCAGAGTGCTAGGGTTACAGGCGTGAGCCACCCTGGCCGGCCGAAACTGGTTATCTTAGTGTCCTAGCCAAAGTTCTTATTCTAAGTACGTGATTATTTCCAAGGCTATAAGCATATCTGGTAAATTTCTTAAATTAGGCAGTGTTCATTGCAATCTCAGCGTTCCAGTTTCTGAGGAATGTGACCACGGAGCATGTCATCCTAGAGAAACTGACATGACTGCATTTACTCCCCGTGGTCCTCGGCGATGTAGTAGTGCGTGACCACCCGCTTCATTTCCTACAGAGTGCATCATCGGGAACGGCAGAAGCTATCGGGGCAAGACCTCGACCACTGTCACAGGGACTCCATGCCAGGGGTGGGCTGCTCAGGAGCCCCATCGTCACACCATTTTCACTCCAGAGACAAACCCACGGGCAGGTCTGGAAGAAAACGTAAGCCGCTTTGATTTGGACCCTATTTGCTTCTTGCTGACCAATCTTTGCAAACAGAATTGATCCTGTTACAGAAAATCACCCTGGACTGATTTCTGGTATTAGTGAGAAGGGATGGGGGTAAGAGGAAAAAATTGGAGCAATTTCCGGGGACTACGCGTAAAATATCACTGGCATTGGCAGGAAAGTGCAGCGGGCACAGGCAGGCAGAGCCCCGTGCTGCGGCCACTCTCAGGCCTCTCGTTTCCCTTTGGTGACATTGTTTGCATGCTTCTGTGATTGGGTGCTGTTTCCAGTTTCTAGTATTTGTCCTCTAGGTTCTAGTGATCAGAGATGCACTTCATGACACTTTAGTCAGATTTTTCCAGAACATTTTGATGGGCCAGCAGTACCCCACCTAGCAGGATTTCCCGTAGTCTCATACCGTCTCTGGGATGGTTAACTTCTCGGGAATTGTGCAGGGAAGTCTATGGGAAAAACCAAAGTGTGCCCCCCACTCTCCCTCACCACTCAGCATGATACTTCTGGCAGCCAGCAGGGCAACTCAATCCTGACACCTTGCATCTGGAGGTACCTTCAAATCCCACAAGTTAAGCGCTCAGTCCCACAAGACTGTCCCCCACTTCAGATGCCAATCACGAGTTCCAGGTTGTGACCGGTACTTCTGACCAACTGGTTATAAATCTGTTTTTCCAAGAGCGCCTTCTTGCATTCGATTAATTTGCTATAGCGGCTCACAGAAGCCAGGGAACACTTTTTACGTTTACCCATTTATTATGAAGGACACTGGTGAGCGGTCATGTGGAAGAGATGCCCAGGGCAGACTATGTAGGCGGCCTTAGAGCTTCCATGCCCGCCCTGCCCCCAGCACGCCACCCTCCAGGGGCCTCCATGCGTTGAGCTATCCAGAAACTCTCCTTTTGGGTTTTCATGGAGGCGTCATTCTGTATGCATGAGCGATTGCATCGTTGGCCGCTGGTGATCAACTCAGCCTTCCGCCCTGCCCCAGAGGGCCCTGCCCCAGAGGGCCCTGCCCCAGAGGTCGAAGGGTAGGGCTGAAAGTTCCAACCCTCTAATCACATAGCTGGTTCTCCTGGCGACCAGCCCCCATCCTGAGGCTACCAGGAGCCCGCCAAGAGTTGCTTCATTAACACAAAAGATGCTCCCACAGCCCAGAAAATTCCACGGGATTTAGAAGTTCTGTGTCAGGAACTGGGGGGTAGAGAGCAAACACATATTTCTTATTATAATACAGTATCACAGGAGGGAAAAGGAAGACACTACCTTTCTGTGTCTTGACCCAGGGAGGGGACACAGTCCACAGAAACAAAAGTTTCTCAGTGGACAGTGAGCAGGCTTCATTGGTTAGACGATTGCTGAAGTCACCCAGGAGCCACATGAGTTAGTTAGTGATGTCCCATTGTCCTCTGTGGCTGGGTCCTTAAGCTCTAAGCCCTTCCCCTCTGCCCCACGTGCGCCGCGGCTCACACACCTGCTTGTTTGCAGTACTGCCGGAATCCCGACGGTGACGACAACGGTCCCTGGTGCTACACAATGAACCCCAGGAAACTTTTTGACTACTGCGATATCCCTCGGTGTGGTGAGCTGCTTTCTGTTTTTGCAAGGAAAATATATAAACAAACAAACAAACAACAACAAAAACTACTTCTCAAATAAATACAGGGGTCACTTCCTTGATGGGGGTCTGCTAGCTGCAGAGGGAAGGCAGGTAGGAAGTAAATAGAGAACAAAGGCAAGTGTGTGCAAGTCACCCCCCTGGCATTGGGTTACTCACAGGGGCCAGTCCCAAGTCCCAAGCTGGCTGAAATAATGCAATATTTCAACATAGGACGGTTATCTTGGTTGCATGCAATCACACACACGCAAACGCACATACACGCACACACAGAGATTCATGTGGAACTAATGCTGCCTTTCAGCAGGGATGACACCTATGGTTTTTAGTAAATGTCACGTGGTTTAGATGGTGGTCTGAATGATGGTGAGACAATGTTCTACATATATTACATCGAGTCAGAATAACAATTACAAATAACCATTTGTGCCAGTCAAGGTCCTCTCAGAAAAGATCTCATTCTAATGCTTAGCTACACCAACTTATTTTATGATTTCTCCAACAAAATAATTTTTAAAAACCAAAACACTTGTATTTCCATGAAAGGAGGGGGTTCTGTGTCGATAACCACTTTTGAAACAGGGAAAAATGTTCCAAAAGATGCTTATGGTGTTACTAGTCGGTTTGGGCTTTGAGATGTCAAAACTCCAGTCCTTGGAGTTTATCTTGAATTCTACGACCGAATTGCCACCCCTTTCCCCTGCTTTGTGCCACAGCACCCTCACCCTCATCATTCGACTGCGGGAAGCCTCGAGTGGAGCCCAAGAAATGTCCCGGAAGGGTGGTGGGTGGGTGCGTGGCCCACCCACACTCCTGGCCCTGGCAGATCAGCCTCAGAACGAGGTAAGACAGCCCTGCGAGCAGCTCGCCCCGTCCTTCCACGAAGCCCGTGCAACCTCTCTGCATTTACACCGAGCCAGCACTGCTGAGGCATCAGTGGCATTTCTATAGTTGCCCAAGGAGGTGGAAAAAAAAAGCTATAAAAATAAAACATTATATTTTTCTGGGTTCTCTACTCCGAAAATGGCCCAGATTGGAATCTTTTCCTTGATCTGGGCAGCTGTCATCCAAATCTGCAGACACGGTCGTCTACGCCAAGTTCCGAGAGTGCTGGAAAAATCCTGAAGATGCTTTAGGTGTTTATATAGCTATGGATCGCCTTACTGTAAAATGAAAACAAAGGGCTATTTTTAGAAATGTGACACTTTGTGGGGGGCGGGGGGAGGGACAAGGAAAAATTACCTGCAGTCTTTCAGAGATACAGATTCTTTTTTAAATATACTTTTGTGAATCACTGAATTTAATGCAGAGGCTGCTCACTCAATCACAAACACGTGAACAAATGATAGTTGGTGATCACCGTAGTTTAAGGGTGATCAGTCTGACCCTGCTGAACTTGGACAGTTTGGGCCACATTTCAGCGCAACATGCCTCTCCTACATTCCCTGGGGCTCTCAGAAAGCACACGTGTTTCACACACGTGAAACAGGCCTGTCACTCTCCTGTTTTGCTTCCTCCTCGCGTCCCTCCACTGTGCATGTGAGCTCAATCGCTGCTCCCCGCTGGCGAGCCTTCCTTCCACGCGCACCGTTGCTGAGTTGGCTTTTCCTTACCTGACCGTTTAGCAACTCCTTGTTACGCAGAGTCTTCCCCTTCCACGTGTTTCAAATTCATTCTTCCCCACACTGTGCACGGTCTACTTCCGGGCTGATTTGGTAACCTGCTTGCAATCATGCACTTGCGATTTGTATTTCTTTTCATTACAGTCTGGTTTGGAGTGGCTCACAACATTATTGTGAGCTACCACATCCCTGATTGGTCATATAAAGTTAGTGATTTAGGCGGGCATCCCCCAAAAGTAGAGTTTCTCAGGTGAGATCAGAAGACTCCTGTGAACCACCACAGTTGGGGATTGATCACACCAGGCCCTTGGAAGAATGTTCATCAGAGCTGGCAAAGATCTTGTCATAAAGAAGGGAAAGAGACCTTGAGGAAGGCTGGGTGCAGAGGCTCACGCCTGTAATCCTAGCACTCTGGGAGGCCGAGGTGGGAGGATTAGCTTGAGCTGAGGAGTTTGAGACCAACCTGAGCAAGAGCGAGATCCTGTCTCTACTAAAAATAGAAAAAAAAAAATTAGCCGGCAACTAAAAATAGAAAAAATTAACCAGGCATGGTGGCATGTGCCTGTAGTCCCGGCTACTTGAGAGGCTCAGGCAGGAGGATCACTTGAGCCCAGGAGTTTGTTTGAGGTTGCAGTGAGCTATGATGACGCCATTGCACTCTACCCAGGGCGACAGGACAATACTATGTCTCAAAACAAAGACATAAAAAGAGACCTTGCCGGGAGGTCTTTGGCTGGTCACTTCTGCTGGAGTCCAGGGATTCGGGATCAAGTCCGTGGCTGTAGGCCTCCATGCTGGGGCCACTTAGCTCTGTCTCCTGAGGACAGGCTGTGCCCACACCGCGACAGCCATCCTAGAGCGATGTGCGTGGGACCTTCTGAAAAACCCCACTAATGGAGCACAATTCAAAGTCACGACCATCCTGATGTTGGGACGGGAGCCTTTTCCTCTGGGAATACCAACATTATCAAAATTGAGTGCACATGTCTTTCTGGCTTTCTGTATCACGGAGCAGAGTAAACCATCGAATTTGAACTAAAATCTTTGCATGTTTCTAGATATGGACAGCACTTCTGTGGAGGCACTTTAATATCACCTGAGTGGGTGTTGACCGCTGCCCACTGCTTGGAGAGGTAGGTTCTGGGGCAGCTGATGAGAGGGCTTGTCTTAAAGGCGTCTTCCTCCCCTCCCTTCGTGTCTCCCTTCTCCCGTCCACCGCAGCGACCCTGAGGGCCAGGGCGGGCACGCACGTGCTGAGGCCGGGGAAGAACTGCCAGGCAATCGGACGGGAGAGGAGGGAAGTGTTCTGCAGAGAAACCACAGGGGAAAGACCTCAGTGTGGGCGATTTTGCAGGGCTAGGAACAGCCGGTCAGAGCTGGTCACTGCCACAGGCTTTGGTCCCAGCCAGAGCAGCCCTAGAACAGTCCTTAAGTGCCAGATTCAGGCCAAGCGTGGATTTCCTTTCTTGCCTCTCAGAAGTCACTGATTCTGGGTGGCCGAGGATCTCGGGGAGACAGGGCCATGTTTACGGGTCCCAGTGAAGGGGCTGGACCCTGTTTTGCTCTTCCCTAGGTCCCGACTGCCTTCGTCATACAAGGTCATCCTGGGCGCACACCGAGAGGTGAATCTCGAATCAGATGTGCAGCAGATCGAAGTGTCCAGGCTGTTCTTGGAGCCCAGACGGGCAGATATTGCCTTGCTGAAGCTAAGCAGGTACTAGCTCACCTGTGTTTTTTTTTCCCTAAGCTGGTGAAGACGTTCGTTCTACGTCTGGGTTTTATAACCGTCACTGCTGCCAGGCAGCGGGAGGCACCGTCTGTGACATTAAAGGCTCAAGGGCTTTGGGGACAGCATCAGACTTCAGCCCCAGCCCTGTCACGGACTAGCTGTGGTCTTGAAAAAGGCACCAGAACTCAGCATCCTCATGTGCAAAAGGAGTGAGTTGAAGTATATAAGGGACACGTTACCCCTAAAACTCTCACTTAATGTTCACCAGGTAATACACACTCACACTGAGAGGAGGATTCGGTTTTTCCAGATGGACAATTCTCCTCTCACCATAACACATTTGAGAGAATCAAATGAGATTATATATTTCAATGCACTTAAAAAAAACTACAATGTGGGAAAACAACCCACACACAATTTACAAATGTGAATTGTATCATTATCATGATAGGCTTCTTTGATTTTGTTTTTCCTATTGAGATGTTTTATCAAGACTGATGAACTGATAAATTTGATCATGTCACTTAAAGTCAGAATTGATTGGAGACAGGTCCTAGTGGAGCTGGCCAACAGCAGCTATTTTGAGAGTAGGCACATTTGGGACGGGCAGCAGGGCTCTCCGGGCGCACGGGCCGTGCTGACGGGCTCCAGAAGACAGGGTGCAGCTGGTGGTGAAGAGGGTGGAGCACCAGTGCGGGGGTGGGGGCTGGGGGCTCCTCTGGGCCTGGGTCACAAACATGGGGCCGCAGCTCCAGGCTGTCAACTGGGGTTGAGGTCCTGGGATGCCGGGGCACTCCGGAAAGGGGAGAAAGGGCCTTTGTGGCTCAGTCCAAAAAGTATCTGATTTTCCTCATGTTGTCCAGCCCCCTCCCCACCCCCCTGCACCCCCAGCAAACGTGCAAACATGCAGGCTCCTCTCCTCCTCGTCCCCAGACGCTTGTCAGGATGACCTGATGGCTTGAACAAGTATTTTAGTAAATGCCGGGTTCTGGAAATGTTCTCTGATAGCCCACTTGCTGAGTCGTAGAGTCCCAGGCATTTAGTGTCCCGAGAGGGAACAGGAGTGACTATATAGCTGTGTGAGGGGCTGGGCTGCTGCCTCCCAGAAGGTGTATCTGCTCAAAGTTGGTGACTACGATGATTCTTGATTAGAAGAAGGCATTTCTCATTCTCCACCCCCCCCACCCCTGCCTAACTTACTAAAGTAGAATCGAGTCTAAAAGTCAGAGTTCTAAAGTTCGAGAGTCGCTGCAACTCTAAGGTGCGTGAGTGTTCTTTGAAAACAACACCACTTTGCTTTTGCGGGGTGCTTATTCCCCGTCGTCTCACATTAGATAGTAGCACCTTCCTGGATCCTTAGGCCTGGCTGTTGTCACATCGACTGATGAGGGAACTGGGGGTCCCAAGCAGGGAGCACCCTGCTCTGTCACACAACGCGTTTGCTGTTACCATAGCTCCGTGACAGGGTTTCAGCTGCCCCTTGTGCCTACCGATCGTGCCCGCTTAAATTCATATGAGAGGATGCCCTTGGTAGAAAATTGTAGCAGTGCACAGGATGCACACGAAAAGTGAGTCTCTGTCATCCCTGCTGTCAGGGGCGACGCCACCAGCAGTGTCTTGTATACACCTGATGCCTTTTGAATGACACCTCACATCCATTTAGTTCCTGTGGTTGCTAGGCGACCACAGGCCAACGTGAGGATGAAGCGTGGTGTCCACGGCGCTCCGTGCCAGGGAGGCAGGGCGCTACCACCCAGCGGCTTCAGGGGCTCGGTGGCGGGTGGCGTCTACTTGTGGGTGCAGAAGGCTCCCAGCTGGGCCGTTGAAAGGTAACTGGCCACGTTTCTCTTCCAGACCCGCGGTCATCACTGACAAAGTGATCCCGGCTTGTCTGCCGCCCGAGGATTACGTGGTTGCCGACCGGACGGTGTGCTACATCACCGGCTGGGGAGAAACCCAAGGTGAGATAGCTCCCACCAGCCGCAGAGCGAGCGGGTTTTGACCTACGGCCCGTGCGACAAAACGAACGTTTCTGAGAAAGTTGCGCAAGTTCCTATCAGGGAATGTGGTCCCCCTGTCCTGATTCTGCCTGGGCACCTGCCTGTGTCCCCATAGTCGGTCATCGTGGGCGCGGGCAAGGGGAGGGGCCGTTACTCTGCGTCCCTGCCACGTGAATACTGCTCCCTCGGTGAGCAGGTTTTGACACCGCCCGCAAGGTGAGAGTGCTAGATCACTTTCCACGTGAAGTTGGCCACACTGGGTTTCCAAACGTGTACAGGACAGAAACAACAAAAGTTGTAGTTAAACGAGTCCTCTTCCCAAACGCCCCCACCTGTACGGTGTGTGCGGCGGCTGTCAGGGAGAGGACCAAGGGCTGGGGGAAGGCGAGACGGGCCACACGTCCCCGTTCCAGGCATTTGGTATTGGTGGATGGGGCGAGGGCAAGAGAGGGAACCTTCACTCGGGATCTGGTACCAGCACCTGAACTGCATTTGGGGACCTCCTTCTTTGCTTTGCAGCGCACCCTGGTACTAATTACACCCATCAGCCCCACCCACTCGGCTGCGGGCACGCTGGGACTGTCTGGGGGTCTCAGCCTCACCTTCTCGGAGGTGTTGGTGGGGGCTGCAGTGGGAGTCCGGGGACCTGAAAGTAGTTCCAACTCTGCCACTAGCGGGACAGACCTGGACAGGTCACTTTACCTCTTTGTTCCACTTGGCTCTAATCCTGCATCTGTAAAACCGGTGTTTTCAAATTGTGTTTTCCACGTGAGCCCTGGACATAAGCTTTCGTCTGAAGAAAGGTTTTGTGGCTTAAAAAAAAAAAAAGGTTAAAAACCACTGACCTAGATAATCTCAAAGCTGGCTTCCTTTTCCTGTGCTTTTCCTACTATTTTTAAAGCCTCACCCCTTTGCCTTCCCATTCCCGCTTTGGGCACATCTGAGCCTGTCGAGGCCAAGCAAAGGGGAACTCGGCAAATGAGGCGTCATCGGTGGATGTGTGACTGTTCCTGGCATTCTGCATTTTCAAAATTGTGAATGCTACAAACCCCAATGAGTTAGATATTATTGTTCCTATTTTACAAATCAGGGACAGAGGCTCAGAGAAGGTGCAGGTTGTACAGCAGAAACTGGGTTGATGGGGCGGGTTACAGTGACTCGAGTGGGAGGCCTGGCTCCCACTTACTAGCTGTGGGTGCTCAGAAAAGTCACAAACGCTCACTGATTGTCTCCTCAGCTGCAAGACGGGCTGCAGGGCCATCGAGGGGAAACAAGAAGACAGTGCATAGAGCACTGAGCACATACAACGCACTCCTTAAACAGCAGCTCTTATTAATGACATGGGATATAGTTGTGTCCACTGCGACTGTTTTTTGCAAGTGACAGAAAATTCGACTCAAATTGAACTAGACAAAGAGGGAAATTCTTAGTGTGCTGAAAAGCCAGCAGGCTCACATGATGGCCCCAGGCCCCAGGCCCTCTCCAGCCATAGTGCAGGCACCATTCTTGGGCACAAAGGTGCCATCCTTCGTGGCTGCAGATGCTGTGTTGGCTCTGGCTCTGCCAAGGAGGAATGAGGAAGGCTATCTTCTCCATAGTGCAAACAGTAGTCTGCCCAGCTCTGAGAGGTGGGACTCGGGTCATGTGCCCACCCCTGAACCAGCCACTGACTGGCTCAGACCTGCATCACTACCACCACCATCATCACCAGCATCACCATCATCATCACCATCATCACCACCATCACGCATCAGTCACCTACCATCACTCATTCACCTATCCACTATCCACCATCATCAGTCACTACACTATACGCCACTCATCATCCACCACCGACCATCACCATGTGTCACAACCATTCACCAGCCACTCACCATCACCACCATCTCGACTACCACCATCACCACCACCATCATCACTACCACCATCACCACCACTATTCACCACACCATCATCACCAGCATCACCATCATCATCACCATCATCACCACCATCACCATCATCGCAACCATCACCACCACCATCATCACCTTCATCATCACTACCACTTACACCATCATCATCATCACCATCCACCACCACCACCATCACCATGTGTCACAACCATCCACCACCACACCACCACCATCATCACGCCATCATCACTACCACCACACCAGACCACATCATTCACTACCACCATCACCACCACCATCATCAGCTATCCACCTCACTACCACTATCAGCCACCACCGATCATACCACCATCATCGACTCCACCATCACCACCACCGATCATCACTACCACGTATCACCACCACCATGATCCACGCCACCACATCACCAGCCAATATATCACCCCACCTCATGCACCAGCCACCACCACAGCCACCGCCGATCACCATCCAGCCATTTTCACAAACCATCATCAGCCACCACGCACCCATACCACCACCGCCATCAACCAGTCACCATTGTCACAACATGATCACCACCACCACCATCACCCACCATCATCACTCCACCGATCCACCACCACCACCACCTCACCACCACACACACCACGCGATCACGCACCACCACCACGCACCAGCCAGCCACCACCAGCACCACCAGCCACGCAGTCACCACCACCACCAGCCACCACCACCACCACCATCACCACCACCACCACCACCATCACCATTGTCACAATCATCACCACTACCACCATCACCACCACCACCACCACCATCACCATTGTCACAACCATCACCACCATCACCACCACCACCACCACCACCACCACCATTGTCACAATCATCACCACCACCACCATCACCACCACCATCACCACCATCATCACTACCACTATCACCACCACCACCATCACCACCATCACCACCACCACCACCACCACCGTCACCACCATCATCACTACCACTAATCACCACCACCACCACCATCATCACCATCACCATTGTCACAACCACCATCACCCACCACCATCATCACCATCATCACTACCACTATCACCACCAGCAGCACCATCATCACCACTACCATCACCACCACTATCACCATTATCACAATGATCATCACCACCACCACCATCACCACCACCATCATCATCACCATCACCACCATCATCATCAATAAACATCACATAACGAGTATGTAGCTGAGCCATGATGGAACCCAGGCCTGCCTGACCCCAGAGCCCATTGGCTGTTTCTTGTGTCCCACCTCCGCCATCTCCAACCACTGCCCTGCACTGGGCGCCCTGTCTCTCCTGGTCTTACCCACATGTCTACTGAGAAAACGATTCTCAGAATATTAGCTGAGCCAGGAGTCGCAGAAGAAACTCAGGTCTGTTTACTAATTTCCTACATGTCAATAATGACGTCAGATCTATCAGTGTCCTCAGCCCATCAGCGTGAGGTCAAAATTCTCCCTTCACGTTTCCAGACTTTCCCTGACTTGGATATTCCAAACGCAAAATGCGTGCTGAGGCCAAGGGGTTCTTCCAGGTCAGCCCCTTCTCCACCATCTCTGGGGCCTTGGGGATCCTGCTACCTGGGGCTTCTCTGTTTCCCTTCCATCCTGAGGTCCCGTGGGCCTCCCGCCCTCAGGGTGCCATCTCTGCTTTGGCCACTGGATGGCAGCACCACCTCACAGCCCGCATCGACCTCCTGTCAACTAGAGGTGGCTATTTCACTAGTGTCAGTATGTCTGTCTTGCCCAGAGAACAAATGCTAGAGCTGTGACTTGCCTGAAATAATTTTCCGCAAAATATTTTCAGAAGGGCGTTCCCTCCGCATCTCTACTCAGCTCAGGTGATGCGTCCCCCTGCCCAGCCAGAGCCGAGCAGGCTCCGGGGCAAGATGCTAGGACCAGCCTCTTTGCGCTCTTGTCAAGTCCGATTGTCACAGTTCCTGACCCCAAGACAGTGGTCTACGTTTACTCAGAGTCTCTGGGGGGAAGAGATAATATCTCATTTCTTGGCTGTGCCATTCTAGCAAAGCAAAAGATTTTTACAAAACCCCAGTGAAAGCTGGGCTTGCGAAATTGAGAACTGGATTATTTGTGAGAACACTGAGACATCCCTGGGCGTGTCCATCTGGAAAAACAGCATTTCCTCTGGCAATTTTGCACACATTCTATTTCAGTTTGGCAAAGGGAATAAAGCTGTGTTTCACAAAAGAAGAAATATAACTACTAAAGTAAGCATACAAGAGAATGTCCGCTCTAATTGTCAAAAAAACGTAAATTAGAAAATGGATTGGGACAATTTCCACCTACTGTCTTAGGTAATATTAAAAAAAATTGAATATTCATAAGGGTGAGATGAAGTGATTTTTTTTTTCTAGTGACATTTTACACTGTCACACCCTTTTAGAAAATAATTTGGCAATGTTATTGGGAGCCATAAATATGTCTATATGATTTCTGGGAACTTAGACTTGAGATATCAAGGAATAAGAATAAACGGTGTGAGCAAAGATGTGGAACATCAGAAGCAAGAGTAGGGCTGATGGGCATGGCCAAGGGGCATCTGGTAGTACTTTCACAGACCCAGGGTCAAGGTAAACTACACAACCTCTCTGAGTTCAGATTCCTTAGCTGCAGAGCAGAAGCGATAAAAGGGCCTATTTCGTAGGACTGTTGTAAGGATTAAATGAGCTTGTGCCTGAAAAGGTTCTCAGTAAATGATAGTTATTCTTTTATTTATTGTAATAAAATATGCACAACATAAAATCTACTATTTTAACCATTTTGAAGGGTACCACTGAGTGGCAGTTAGTGTAATACATTCACAATGTTGTGCAAACATCACGATATTTCCTCACTCTGAAAGGAAACCTCATGCCCATGAAGCACTCTCCATTAAAATATGAAGATTTTAGCATTATAAAAAACATCCTTATGAAACAATGTTGACTGAAAAAAATCAGGATATGGAATTGTACAATATGACATAGGTCATAAAAGGAGCATATAAAAAAGCCTGGAAAAGAATATGTAAAAATAGCAGCAAATTATATTTCTTAAATTCTCTTTGCAAATTAAAAATTATTTTTTATAGTTTTAAAAGAAAAGCAAAAAAGTAAACAAACAACAACAGCAAACTTCAAAACACCATAAACAAGCCTAAACTGTTAAATCCAGGTCTTGGGAACATAAAATCTCCTATGATGTTTATACTTTCAAGGGTCAGAAAGAGTTCCGGTGATATTGGGCCCTGACTCCTTGTGTTACCCACTCTCATGGACAAACAAGGGATCTAGTGTTGCTACCCTATTGTTCTGGAATTTTCCTCATGAACATGTTTTGGATCCAGTAACCATTTCTTTTTCCTTCTTTCTTTCTTTCTTTTTTTTTTTTTTAGCTTTAGCTCTTCTTTTTTTTTTTATTTCGGCATATTATGGGGGTAGAGATTTTAAGGTTTCAATAAATGCCCATTCCCCCCTCCCCCCAGTAACCATTTCTTTAATCTTTTAAAACACAGGTACCTTTGGTGCTGGACTTCTCAAGGAAGCTCAGCTCCCTGTGATTGAGAATAAAGTCTGCAATCGCTATGAATATCTGAACGGAAGGGTCAAATCCACGGAGCTTTGTGCTGGGCATCTGGTTGGAGGCATTGACAGTTGCCAGGTAAGAAAAGGCCACGGAGACCCTTGCGCAGCCCTACCTTGGACCTTTAGACATTTCTGCCCCAAAGTGGCCAGTTCAAGAAGGATTTCTCTTCTGAAGGCCCCAGTGTAAACATTGCTCGGATCCCCCCTAGGTCTGTCCCTGAATGCTTATTCAGATCACCTAAGGTGACTTCTTGGGCCTTGAGTTCCAGATCAGTAGTAAGGGAGCGGCAAGTGCCATGATTCCTGCAGGCCACGTGCCTCCCTGGAGCGTGTGGTTGGCTGAGGACTGGAGTGATGGCTTTTCCAGAAGGGAAGGAAGTGAAGGGTACAGGACAGGACCAACCACACCCACCTCACAACCGTGCCCAGCCCAGCCCTGTGTAGAGGAAACCCAAGGCAGAGGAAGATGAGTGAGGGATTCACAAGGGATTCCCCCCACCCCCAGGGAAAACTAAATGGTGGTGTTTTGCTGACTCTACTATGCTAACTATGTAACTACTGCAGATGCTCAAATAATATGTTAATAAGTTCCTTTCTGACTTCAAATACTGGGAAAACTTACATAGGGCTATTAGAAGGATGGCATCCCATAATGAAGGGTTGGCAGCTTAATCCTCACATGGTTTTTTCCTTCCCTCTGTATAGGGTGACAGCGGAGGGCCTCTGGTTTGCTTCGAGAAGGACAAATACATTTTACAAGGAGTCACTTCTTGGGGGCTTGGCTGTGCACGCCCCAATAAGCCTGGTGTCTATGTTCGTGTTTCAAGGTTTGTTACTTGGATTGAAGGAATAATGAGAAATAATTAATGGGATGGGGGACAGAGTGAAGCATCAACTTACCTAGAAGCTGGAACGTGGGTAGGGAATTTAGCATACTTGGAAATAATTGACAGTAATCCAACTAAGACACTGTCCCCAGCTAACGTCTACTGCCAAACCTCAGCATCTTTTGTATTATTGTGTATGACTTTTTCCTATCCCTGGACTACTGGATTCTGTAATTATAAGGCAACACAGCTATAACGTCTGTTGACAATAAACTCTGTACTTACTTTGATGTGAGTTACTTTTGCTTTTGGTTTTCAACATTTTCATGTTCTTTGTTCATCCCACCAATTTTAAATGAATGGACCATTGTGATTTAGCACTTTTTCATAAGGAACAGTCACATAAAGGACTGAGAAGCTGTAAGATCACAGAGAGGAGAGCTGAGAAGTGCTGATACGTCATCTATACATTTACCTTGTCCACTAATGATGGCTTGACACACAGCTCTCATGTCTTTATTTCTGGCACTGAGATGAGTATTTTCAAAGTAGCAACATGTATAGGGAGTCATGAGAACAAGTTCTATTATGGGGAATGAATCTGTTACTGACTACTTGACTTTAGCCCGGCCCCAGGGACCCGGAGCAGAGAGTTGTATGTCGTGGAATGAACTGGGCAATTGAAGTGTAATACGAGACCAGCTAAGAGTCTGAATGTTATTCTGGGTCACGGTTGAGTCTAGGAATGGTGCCAAGAGCCTGTAAAGGAACAATGAACAAATATTGAAGGTGGACCACTTATTTTCCATTGCTAATTGGCTGCCTGATTTTTTTTTAATTTATTTCGGCATATTATGGGGGTACAGATTTTAAAGTTTCAATAAATGCCCTTCCCTGATTTTGAAACAGTACGCAGCAAACACTATCACGTGGGAAAAATGGTTTACAATGACCATGTTTAGTTTAGAAGGAAGAGAAAAGATAAACATATTTTTTTACAATTTAAAAATTTTTATTGCTACCAAACAAAAATATCAACTCAAAATACAATTCAAAAGTGGTATTATTAAAGAGCAACATTCATCTTACAGCAAAAAATGCAAATAAAAGCAAAAAGGCAAATGTCTGTGAATAAAGGGTGAATGTAGCCTTAAATCCTCAAAGAGCTATATTTGTTTCATTGACAAATAAAACATTCATATTCAATTCTGATGTCCTTTAAGGATTAAGAAGCTTATTTTACAATTAGGACACACATAGTACATATTGTCATCTGTTTTCCAAATGGAAATTTTCTTCCTTGTTCACATGGTTTCTCTTTGGTGCCCATTTTGCCTGTCCTCACAAAGTATTTCATCTAAAAATTCAGCATAAAATATATACTGAATCTGAAAATATAACAAATATACAAAGCAGAACAACATATTTGTGTTTAAGTTCCACATTTCAAAAGTCTTGAAAGCAAAAAAGAAAGATCAAATTCCTTATTAGTATCTATAAAGTCATTTAAGATGCTGTTGCTAATCCTTTTAAGCATGGATATAAGTGGACTTTCATTTAAATTAAATAAGCTTTTTTTAAAGCTCTTTCCCAAGACAAGTCAAAAGTGCCAAGATTGAATGAGAACTGTCCATATTTTCACTCTTGACCACAGACACCATCAGAACTGATCTCATGAATATAAGATAAATATGCCTTTCCTTTTAAAATCCTAAGACCCATGAAGTCATAATCCACAGATTTTATTCAGCAAAGAATGGGTTCTGTGGCTCGAGGCGTCCACTAAAGGAGGACCAAAAATATCCTGATAATCTCAGGATCAAAACCTGATTTTATAAATAATAGAGTCAAATCCCCAAATTGTACAGCAGATTTGTTCTTATTGATGGAATGAGACCTATATCGTGCCTGGAACCCCCGGGGCTACAGAGGAGGTGGGCGAGAAGGGCCACTGACCTGTTGGTGCTGCAAAGGCTTGTGGGACTCCGGACAAGCGGAGTATGCAGCGGCCCAGCACCCTGGGGCCCACGCTCCTGAGACTCAGTCTCTTTATTCACAGGATTTCCAAATCTTCATCTCCCGTGGAATCTTCAGAATACTCAGTTTGGGGCTTAGTCTCTTGCTTGATCAGATTCGCTAACACTTTTTAAAATTAATTAACTAATTAATTTAAGGCCAGGGCCCCCCTCTGTTGCCCAGGCTGGAGTGCAGTGGTGCGATCATAGCTCACCACAGCCTCAAACTCCTGGGCTCAAGCAATCCTCCTGCCTCTGCCTCCTGAGTAGCTGGGACCACAGGCCATGTGCCCCCCCCTCACCCAGCTGGATGAACGCATTTCTGTACACCTTTCCCAAATCCCTGATTTGCACATCCTGCATTCTTGATGTAGCTGTCATGAGAACTGAGGGGTGTGGGGGGGGGCGGGCTTCTCTCGTCTTTCTTTAACCGAATGGTTCAGAGACCACTGCTCCGACACAAGGAAAACCCCAGGAAGGGCTGTGCACCTAACAGGCTCTTTGCTAAACCGGCCGCATAGTCTCTGTTCCCAGGAACTCCAATAGCATTATAAATCTTAACTCGTCCAACATGGTATATAAATACTCTGGATAGTGTGAATGTCTTTATACAGTATTAAAAACACTTGGAACAGCGCAGCACACTGCGGCCGAGATGGACACATGCCTCTCTGCCAGGCTGGGCGTGGCGGGAGGGGTCGGCTCCTGGGCAGCTCCTTCCTTCCGTCTCTGGCAGCGCCTCAAAGGTGAGAGCCGGAAACCTGGGTTTTCTTTTTCCTGCCACATTTATAGGAATATGGTTAAAAAAAAAAGGAGAAAAGATAAAGTCTTTATGAAAGATTATGCAACTAGTTAGAAGAAAGTCTCCTGTTATTTCTTAATAGCATGGCTGGTTTGGGTCAAATACGCTCATGCATAACTTCTCATGAAAACCCAACTCGAAGGCAGCAAAAATAACTGTCTCTGGGCTCATTTCTGACCTGCTTTTGGACCCTAGCTAGGGGTTAGTTAGCCTGATAGCGCATAAGTTCTTTAGGAATGTATACTAAATAACACATGTTTGGAAATGAGCTGTTGATGGCAACAAAAATAGCAAAAATGGTATAATAATTCAGTGCAGTTTTAGAGGGGAAAATGCCAATGGGTTACAGTGATTTAGCACTAAGTAGTTTTTTTATTTCCAGAGGAAATAATCATGGATTGCAGTTACTGTGCTTAATTTGCAGCACTGTAAATCATACTTCTCCCAGAGTTTTTTTCAAAGGTAGGAACTAAATATATAACTAATTTGCCCAACTTTTTGTTTTGAAAAATTATAAGCACAGAAAAAAAAATTAGAAAGAATTTGTATAAATTAAATTTTTGTTGGTTTAATTATTTATGTTTATATATTAGATGTATGTTACTTTTGCCCTGCATGCCATTTAGATGGCTCTCCACCAAAAACAAAACAAAACAAAAGAAAACAAAACCAAAACAAAAACCCATCCCTCCCAGTTGTTCAATTTTAGTAATACTGACTCAGGAGAAGAGTCCTGATCTCAAATGACTCCCTGTTCCTCCATTTTTTCCTGATGAGTTTGGAAATCTGACCCCCGACTTGTTTGGGGATCAAGAATGAGTGTTCCACCCTCACTATTTAAACAGGCAGCAGTCTACGGGGTAGCATCAAAAGGAAGGACATGGTTCCTCTCGTGAGGACACTGGCAGGGAGGGAGGGTGGCCAATGTGGTGAGAAAGCCATCCGCACCACTGGGCAACGGGCGTCTTGAAGCCCCGATGACAAAGTCACAGGTTCTGCTGCCCACAGTCAGCACGAACCCCTTTGGTCTCAGCAGGATCACCCTCCTGGGCGTTCCAGCCCCAAAACGCATCCTTGGGGGCCCACGAGAAGTTACTCTAAAAGTTTGGGTCTCCTATTTTAAGACAATCCCATTTCCTTCCTCACTGTTATCCCTTCCTTCATTTAACCTGCTTGATCATTTCCCTTTCTCCTGGCCGCCTGGCACTGCTGCCACAGGGACGGCAGGCTGGCCACGCCCCTCCACCCTGGCCCAGTCCCCTCGTGCTGATGCAAGCCAAGCAACTGTCTGTGCTGACAGCATTAGCCGAGTGTTCCTCCTTTCCGGATAGAGCGAGGCCCCAGCGGCGGACGCTCAGGAGGACGCCTGTTAATGTTGCTCTGCAGAATGGCAGTGTCTTAAAGAGAAGTGCCCACTTCTCCCCACCTTCAGGTAGCGTGTTCTAGGGTGAACTGTAGGTAGGGCTCTGGGCCAGGAATAAGCCAACACCCACCACTTTATTCCAAACAAGCATACGGTTGCGTTCGGGTTTCTTCACGAGGCAAACGCCCACCTGCCCTCTGACTGCCCTGTCCCGTTAGTCGTCAAAGAATGGGACAAGAGCTGGCGATGTTGTCCTGAGCACACCGACTCAGGACTCACCGATGTTGTCCTGAGCACATTTCTTATGAGAGTTCTAGGGATAATTAATCAGTCTTATCTTTCAAAATAGCATCAAAAACAGGACAATAAAATCACTGCGTACCGATGAGTGAGATGTGCAGCGTTTGGGGGATGGTCACGCTTGAAGCTCTGGCTCGAGGGGGCAGGGGGGCACGGGCAATATATGTAACCTTAACATTTGTACCCTCATAATGTGCTGAAATTAAAAAAAAAATCACCGTGTGATTTTTTTTTTAGCTATACGTTGCAAACTTTGAAAGGTCTGGTAAAATACTTGTGAGACCCTTAGTCTGCCTCTGGGGAGGAAGATGGTACCTGATTAAAAGAGGATCTGTGGAGAGAAATTTCCATTCCTACAAGAGGGAGACTCGCTATTCAAAACAAATGCACAAGTAGGATCCATCATGTAATAAAACTACACAAAACAATGGAATTACACTTGTAGGCCAGACAGTACCAGTCCACGTCCTAGCATTTAAAAGTTATGAAACCTTTCTGATTTCCCAGTTACAAAAGATTGAGCATAAAAATTTTCATTGCACAAAATTGTTTTGAATATTAAATGAAATAACATATGTGAAACCATCAATCCCACAGGTGCTTAAAAAAAGTCAGCTTCTACACTCTTCCCAATCTACAAGTGAAGAAAAAAAACACTACCAGGAGGTTACCAAAATTTCAGTCTTTTTGTAAATTTTTTTGACATATTTTTGTTAAAGTTAGAGGTCTATGCCCTTAATTTCAGGTCATTATTAAGACTGGTTTTTATTTTTTAAATTAGCTCTTAAATTATATTTTAAATTACAAAAATAACACAAGACCATGTGTTCTAATTTTTTTAAAAAATCGAACAATACAGAAATCTCTAGATAGAAAAGTGATGGCCTCCCCTTCTTCCTCATCCATTTCTGTCCTCAGAGGATGTATATTATTATTGTGCATCTTTTACAATATACTCTCATTTTCATTGTCTTTTTATTATGAAAAATTTCAAACAGAAAATTAGAAGGAATTTGTGTGGTATAAATTTTTGTTGATGTAACTCTTCATGTTAATATATTGGTTAGATGTTAACTTTCCTTGCTTACTGTTTAGACTCCCTCCAGAAGTCAATCTCTCTCTCTCTCTCCTCTGTCTCTCTACTTATCTCTGTTCTCCACCTACCCATCAGTCATCTGTCATCTACTATCTGTCATCTATCTACCATCTATCCTACCTATCTACCATCTTTCATCTATCATTTGTCCATTGATCACCTATCAATCACCTATCTCTCATCTGTCAATCATCTACCTGTCATCTACCTGTCATCTATCTACTATCTATCTTGTATCTATTTATTTATATCTAGTTATCTACCATCTGTCTGTCATCTGTCCTCTCATCTAGCTTTACACAGAGGGATTGCCATTGGTTTTATTTTTTAATAAATACTATAACACACTGTTCAGCGACGTTTCACTTTGTAATCCATCTTGAGAAGCTTCCTGTGCCCTTCCCCTGGTTAGATCTCAGTTCCTCTCCCCTCTGTGGCATTGTCCACATTATGAATACACCATGGCGATTTCCACTTTGCAGGTCATCTTCCTCTTCTTTACATCACTTCTGAGTCTTAACTTCTTCATGGAAATGCTTCTCTGTTCACAACCATATTTTTAAAATAATGCAGATTCTTCTCTTTGTTTTTTGCTTTTTATTCTTTACAGTAACCTTTTAAATCTACTTTGAATTCTCTGCTTAGGACATGAGATGGGAATTTCATGGTATCCCCCCCCCCTCTCGTGGATATTCTGTATTTTCAACACCATCCTTTCCCGAGTGGTTTGAAATGCTGCTTCTGTTTAGGATGCATTGACTTTTGTACAATACCTGCCAAGCTTTTCTACATCCTCCACCGTCTCTGGCAAAGCAATGCCCTTGGTTTCAGGCAGAAGCATCACGAGGCCACCACAGAAGGACGCCAGGATACCTGTGGAACAGGGGACCGGCGTTACTGCCCAGAACACACGGCCTGGCCCCACTGCCGCCGCCTGCTCACGCTGAGGCCACCAGGGCGCTCACCTGAACGGACTTCACCAGACCCCCCCCCCATTTCCCAGCCACGACTTCCAATGTCCCCTGCCTTCTTGCACCCTGTGCACAAACACGGCCCGTGCTCTCGGTATCTGTTTGTTATCGATTGTTTATCGGTGCCTCTTAGCACCCAACACTCAGGGCCTCACCTTTGGCTTTGCAGGAAGATGGAAGCCACCAGAGAGGAATCTTCATTTGTGTTCACTGCCACTGTCACTTGCCACACCCTCTCCCTGCTGTCCCTCCTTCCCAGTGCACGGTAAAACTTGTCCCTGCCTCTGCCTGAGGTGTGACGATTCAACCCCTTTCCCCGGGGTCTTCACCCTATTGCTAGAAGCTTCCAAACACACTCAGGTCTCTGCCTTAACAAGCCTCCTCTATGCCACCAGTTACTGCTGCCCTTTTCTCTTCTCTGGAGCCCAAATTCCTGAAATGCCAGCCTCTCCTCTCCTCTTTCTCCATAGCCGTGTGCTGGTAAATGCCTAACAGCCGGTTTTGGGAAATAAAGCCGTGGTTTGTAGCGTGTGCCCACTGGCCAGGTGTGAACGCGTCCACATGGGCGTGTCAGGCATGTCGCCCACACACATCAATGAACGCGGCACCGTAAGAGAAGTGGCACAGCCCACCACTCCCTGTCCCCACCACAAAGACACCAAAGACACAAATAACCCAAGAACACAGATGACAGTAAACACTCAATGAATTAGGAGCAGATGGATGTTGCGGATTTATTACCTCTGTTTTAAATATCTTTTATATTCTTTGATTTTTAGCGATGGCTGCATTTAACAACTGGCCCATAAATTCTTAAAAATGTAACAGCTACCCTTGGTGAACGGGTGCCAGTCCGGCCCAGCCCGGGCCCCCACGTACTGGCTGGCCCCACGCCCCCCTGCGCTGCTGTCTGTCCTGACGTGGCTGATCTCACGCCCTCCTGCCCCGCGCTTCCCTCTCGCCTGGCTCGTCTTCCCTGCCACTGGCCTCCACTTGCAGCCTCAGGGCTCCGTCCTAGGCCTCCGCTTTCCTCTCCCTCTGTCCTGCTTTCCTGGGTCTCTGTCACTCGCTCAGCTCCAACAGTGCTGTGCATTCAGGTGGCTTCCAGACCTGCACCCCTCGGCCACACTCCTCCCCGGCAGCCCCGCGACTCCTGGCTCCGCACTTGGGCCACTTGGAGTCTTACAGGCACCTCAAACTGCGTGGCCAGCACAGACTCCCTCGGCCCCCTGCAGCCCTGACTCCACCCCCTCAGCCCTTGCAAGTCGTCGTGTCCTGACTTCTAAGACGTTTCTTGACCCTGTCTGCTCCCCTCTGTCCCCACTGTCACTACCTTCTTAGAAGAAGCCACCATCATCTCTCGAATGCGACATTCCGAAACCGTCTCACCCCAGCGCCGGCCCCTCCAGCCCATCTGCACATCTGCCCTCACAGCCGTGTTTCTCAAAGGCAAGTCCAGCTCTGCCGGCCCCGGGTGTCGCTCCAGTCACTTCCCACTTCCATCTGGACCGAGAGCAAAGCCTTCACAGGCAAGACCCTGCGTAGCTGGCCCCTGCCCCCCCAGCACTGTGCCCCTCAGGCCCCCCTCACACACTGCACTCGGTCCCTTAACCTGCGGGTGCTTGAGGACGCCATCTTCTCCGGCCCTGGGCTTCCCCTGCCTGGAGCACAGCGCCCCTCACGGTGGCATCTGCCCATCTTCAGATCCCGCCTAGACGCCCTGCCTTCCCCCCTTCTCCCCGCCGTCAGCAGGGCCAGGGGACCCGTGCAGTGTTCTCACAGCCGCCTCTCCTCTCAGGGTCTCCGCAGAGAGCACACTGTCCTCACCGAGATTTTGGGAACGTGGCTCTGTCCCCGCCCAGGCTCTGTGAAGGAAGGGCCAACGTGCAGCCTGGGTGCCCACGGTCCTGGAGGTCAGGTGCGTGTCTCCTGGACTCCCCTGTCCTTGCCAAACTCTGGCACTCTCTGCCTTTTCATGCTGGCCACAGAATCAACACTCAGCTCGATGATCAAAGCCCATTAAATAACTTGAGGTGATCTTTTATTGAGTTCACCAGTGTCAAGGGTTAGGAGTTGCTTTTTTTGTCCCTAGCACTGTCAAAGGGTTTTTGCACGAATCTGAAGGTTTGTCCTCATGGGCTCAACATTTTCATTCAAATTTCAAATTTCAACTGTTGAACAAGAAATGAAAAACATTCTCTATTGGGAGTAAGGACGTGGAAGTGGAGGAAAGGTTGGGTGAGAATGGGGTTGACCAGCGTCCCTTATAGCTGGGGGGAGAGGGGGAGCTCCCTGGAGCGCTGAACTGCCTGGGCCTGCTGGGCTCTGGCTCCGCCCTTTCCCTGGTGCTACCGAGAGAAGGTACAAGGAGGGTGTGAGCTCAAGGGACCTGGAAGAGGTTACGGAGCACGTGTGAGCGACCGTGAGTTCCCTGTTCTCTCCGCATAGCATTTGGCATCAAAGAGAAGAAAAATATGATATCGGTAGGGAACATTTTAAAATGCATTTTAAAATTAATCATTTAATTAAACATTTTAAAATTAATCCTTAGGCTTATTTTTAAACATACCAAAGATCCAACTGGGTCCCCTGAAAATCACCTGTTCTGTTTCCCGGTACCATAAAAGAGTTTCATAGTGTTTGATTTTAACCCAGAACCTAAACAAAAAAGGCTAAATCAAACATTGTTTATCACCACCCATTAACATAGAGTAAATTAAAGCCATGTAGGATTTCAAATTTTACTGTACTCACATTGGCTCCTCAAAACTGAAATGGTTGTCATAAAAGTATGAAATGGATATCATTGATAACCTAATAATCTAATAATCATTATAGGGTTCTATTAATGCAAAGAATGTAGATGAAAGTTCTTAAGAACAGCATAAAAAGTGAGCTCTTACCAAAGATTATCAGAGGTAGTTCTAGCCACACAGCTGCTAGCCGGAAGAGCAGAAATGGGGCTATGATTCCCCCAAAATCACACAAACCTGAACACAGTGAGACTCCAAAGTTTCTGTGGAATGAAAAACAGTTTTAAATGAAAACTACTTCTTAAGTACATTCAAGATAATCAAAACATTCCGAGATATTCACTAGCAAAGCAAGTGTGACAACACTCTCCGTTTCTCTAGTTTTTTAACCTTGAAAACCACCACTGTCGCATACTGCAAGCAAACCATGTCCACTGTGCACCGTTTCACAGTGAGCGTGGTGAGGAAGGCTCCGGTGTTGGAGGAGAGGCACTCATCCATCAGCAGCTCACGCCCTGCCTGCTCTGTGCCAGTACGTGCCCCTTTGGTACCCTTGCACGACAGCAGTGTGCCCACGGGCTGTTTCCCCAGCAAAGGAGGCTGATTCGTGCTAATCCACGCACACTGTCTCCCTCTGTCCTTCGGTAACCAGCTGCCCACAAATGCGAGGTGTATAACGCCGTCCGAGAGTCCGTATAGCCTTGCGGCAGGGCGATGCTGGCGAATGCAGATTTAACCCACGATCCAAGCGAGTGCACGAAGAGGTCTTCTGGTTCCAATTTTAGAGCCTTTCCACAAAACCATAGGTGTGCATGAAGGTATGATATGAGCAATACTTCTATCGCAAAACGTGTCAGGCAGCAACGCAGAAAGCAGCTATAACTCAGAGCATCTCTTCCTCACGGGCCGAATTCAGCCCAGGCTAACATATTACCAAGCTAAGGAAGCTATTTTACAGTTTTTAAGTCAACTTAAAATATGTGACTACAGAGTTACTTAGGAGAAACCATGACATGTATGTTGGAATTACCGTAACGTTGTTGGGTACAGTTCTGAATTTACCAAATAAACAATTTCAAAGGCCATGGTTATGCCTAGTCTTCCCAGGGTAGCAACCGTGGTCCTCAACCATGGTATTCCTGCAAACACAGAAAGTTTGGGAGGGAGAAGTCAGAGGTCTGATTTCATTAACATTGTACAAAACAACAAAAGGCACTTGCTTAGCGCCCCCTAGCCCAAAAGTATTTGCTAATTTTAAGCACAAATGATAAAGCCTTTTAATATTGTAGCCAAATTTCAATAACAACCACCACCAGAATGACAGCTAATATTTTAGTGTGCTAGATGTCTTTCTGAGCAGGGTTGCATCACAGAAACATAATTCAAGAACCATTTGTCGAGCAGTCACTACCTTGGAACAGGGAACCGTTTGAGGACTGTTCTGGTTATATGAAGAAACCCTCCCTTCCTCCCTAGTAACTAGTGGGAAATGGCAAACACATTCCCTATTAAATATTTTTTTTTCTTTTGTGTTTTAAGGACAGAAGGAGTTAAGTATTTTTACTCTGAAAGGTCAGTGCTCTAAGTTTCCTAAGAGTTGTGCAACTTACGTCGTCCCAGGAGATTTGGTATGAGGACATATGATTGCATGAACGAGACCGTATCTGCTCTTCAAAGCAAAGCTAAGGACGTCCAGCATGTCTGGCTTTCATCTGTGTACAGATGAATATCTTTTATACTCATGTGCATGCTCACTTAGCACTAAACCGTCCTCTTGTCTTCTGGGAGCATTATTGTATCTTCCTGAATAAATAATTTTTTATGAGAAAAGTGGGCATGAGTGAGGAGGAGGCAAGAAGAGAATCAAGCTCATGGACGTCTGTGTGTTCCCTCTAGAGAAGAGTCAGCAAATCAGAAAAGCTAAAACTCACTAGATGAAACAATTTCCCAGGAGGGCAAGCAGAGGAAAAGACGGTTTGAGAGTCCAGGTCATTGCTGGGAGCCCTTGCTTTACTGCGTTCTGACTGCAGTTGGGCCGAGGGTATGCTGGCGAACTCGGTATTTTTCCCAGATGAGAACACCTGTAGCTGTCACACGAACAGTTACATCAGGGAGCGGGGAGGGTCAGACTTGTGCTGATGCGCTGGGCCACCACCTGCTCTGGCACAGGGCGGTTGTCAACATGTGTTTTATTTAGGCTTTGCTTTTTCGTGAAGGCCAGGGAGGGGCACGAGGAAATGCATTCCACCCCTGTCCTTCGATGAGCAGGTGGTGCTGGGGACGGAAAGGGGGAGCCGTGGCCCAGATTCCCTGGGTCCTGGCCCGCTGGGGCAATCTCCCGCTGCTCTCAGCTGCAGTGAAGAAGGCCGCCTGCTACCATGGAAATGATCTCATATCCAGGTTAGGTACTTAAGTCACAGGATTCCTTTTATTAAATCAGGGTCGTTCTATAATTGAGCCTCAATTTAGGTTTTCAACCGAGGCTAGGACTATTTGACGGAAAGAACCAAACAAAAACCATGAAACCAAATTAAAACATATACCCACCATGAGAAACATAAGTGGATAGCTCAGAAAAATAGCTAGTCAATGCAGCAAAATGTTCAGAAAACACTGCCAAGTTGCCACACTGGGGGACATATGGTCTATCCAACATGCGGACCTCAATCTGAAAGACTCCCCGCTCTTTTCCAAGCAGTAGAGTCCGGTACCTAACCATTAATATATCAAGACAGATATTTCATTGAAATGTGTAATAAAAGAGAAGTCCCTAAGGCTCTGCACTGTTCCTGAACTAAAGAGTAAAAAGGAAACGATCTATCGGGATGCGTGAATAATTATATAGGCACACACAAACTTCTGATCATTCCAGTAATACGCTAAGTTCATTTTGGGGTGGTGATAGACAACTTTTGGTAGCAATGGCAAAAACCACAAGGCAATTTAAAAATGAGTACTAAAACTAAAATTGTCTCCCGCAGAGTTAAATGAGAACACAGAAACAATGTCCCTCGCTGATTCGGGACCCGGTCAAGCTGCTAGAGATTACTGGGAACAGTCCCTCGATTACTGAAGAAAGGACACAGGGTTTTGAATCTCTTCTGAATGTACCATCTGTGGACTAAAATAAAATCGTAAGCCCCCAGCTGACTGGATGGACTCCCTCTTAGACAGCAGGACCCCAGAAAAACCTTAAAACAGACTGGCCAGCCGTGAGGAGGAGGGAGGCCAGACACACCGCATGGTGCCCTCTGGCTTTGGGAGTTACTCTCAGGAACGATATGATACTAAACCACCGACAGGACCTAAAGCCGAGCAAGACAAAGTTTAAATCACACCTGCAGGACATCAATTTACTTAATAGATTGCTCTAGGGCAAGGGTCCTCAAACTACGGCCCTTGGGTCACATGCGGCCTGCTGAGGACATTTATCTGGCCCACTGGGTGTTTTTGCCACCACTGCCTGTCCTGCTTAGCAGCCGACTCGTCCTGGGCCCACAGTGCGCATGTGTCGCAAGTGTGGAATGGGCGCCCACGCTCGCCAACTGCCCTCCAACGGCCTGAGGGACGGTGAACTGGCCCCCTGTTTAAAAAGTTTGAGGACCCCTGTTCTAGGGGTCTGTCCCATGGCTTGTCTTTGATTATCAGACTTCCTTATTTTAACTTAACACATCCCAAGCTTTTAGATAAAGCTTCATTTCTTTAATTACAAATCAAAGAATCTTTAAATCCACCGATAACCTGTAATCCCCCCTACCTTCAAGATGTCCCATCTTTTCAGACCAAACCTATGTACGCCTTCCACGTACTGATTTGTGACTTTACGTGTAATTCCTGTCTCCACGAATGTATAACACCGAACTGCAACCAGCCACTTTGGGCACATTTTTTCAGGACCCTGTGAGGCCATGTATTCTGGACTGTCAGTCACACACATTCGGATCAAGAATAAACCTCCTGTGCTCGCTTCGGCAGCACATATATTAAAATTGGAACGATACAGAGAAGATTAGCATGGCCCCTGCACAAGGATGACACGCAAATTCGTGAAGCGCTCCATATTTTTAGAAAAGAAAGAAAATTTTTTAAAAAAGAAAAAAAAGAATAAACCTCTTTATTTTATCGAGTTTTTTTTTAATGTCAATACACCTGCTCTGATTTCCAAAATAAAACTTTGCAAAAACTCCTAATAGAGATATGTAAATTAAGATATATGAACTTTTCACTTAAAGAGAAATGAAGGTGAAAAACAACCTTTTCATTTCAAAAAGAAGACTTAGCACAACTGCTAGGTTTTAGCCATCCTAAATAAACTCAGCGATGCCACACCGGTATGGATACAGAAAGCTCTTTATTTTCCAGACTTTAATTAGAATTCAGAAATTTGGGCCAAAAGCAGTGAGTCTTAGATGGAGATACAGCCAGAAAGACTATTTGTTTTCCTAGAATTTCACTCTTCAGACCGTGCAAAGTCGGGTTCGGTGGAGGGAGAGCGAGTGAAACCGTTTTCTGTGAGGTAATGTCAGGGCTGGTTTCTCCCAGAGGCTCAGCAGCATTCTGCCACGTGGTCAGGAATGGCCGAGGGAGAAGTTGTTCTATCATTAATTTACCAGTCCCGGGAGTCAAGTCTCAAAGCCTCTTGGAATTGGAAGGAGCCTCTGCTAACATTTGGAACTCACTGTAGGGATTTGGAACTTATTCCTGCCAGACAGTCATGACTGACACATGACTGTAAAAACAGCCAAGTCTGCCAAATGCGCAAATAAAGCGTGTCTAGAATAAGAGCAATTAGTTTTCAATCTTGCTGAGGACAATTCTAAAGCTTCGATCAGGAAATTATGTCTATAAAATAAAACTGATTAGAATAAGAAGAAAAGTTCTATTCCTTGGTTTATATTTTCCAATATATATGAAAGTGTTTTCTACAAAATAGCTTGATTCCCACCCACCTAGTTACTTCAAACTTGGTTTGGACACACAGTCGTAAATGATTTTCAGGGACACGCTGAATGTGACACACATTAAAATCATCCCACTCAGTGTAGGACCAGAGAAAATCTCCTACGGTAAAGTATACTTCAGGAAATGATGGCCACGCTTAAGCCATTTGTCTTTCTCTCCACGTTCTCCCCAATTTCACATGCAATGAGTATTTCATCCTATTCCATAAGCCACGAGAACACAAGATCTCTTCTTAGAGGACTATGTTTTTAAGTTAAACCTTCACTACCAAAGTAAAATAGAAAGAATAGTGAAGTCTCCAACATTCCCAATTTTTCACCCTTCTACCTAAATTGTATGTTTCCCGAGGGCAGGGCTTATGTCTATCTTGTTCACCTCTCCTTCTCCCTCCTAGTTTAGGGGCTGGCAATTAAAGGATACCAAAAAGACACATGTTGATTGATGACCATTGCACAGATCTCCCACACTTAGACAATACTAACTCAATGTAGCAGGTTGAACAGCATCCCCCCAAATCCTTGTCTACCTGGAATCTCAGAATGTGACCATATTTTGAAATAGGGTCTTTGAGGATGTAATTACTTAAGGTGGCACAGGGACAGAGAGGAGACCACCATGTGAATCTGGAGACAGACTGGCGTGATGCCAAGGGATGGTAAGGCTTGGCGGCAACCACCGGAAGCTCAGAGAGAGGCATGAACAGATCCCCCCTCAGAAGTGCCCGAAGCAACCAACCCTGGGACACCCGCATCTCAGACTCCCGGCCTCCAGAACTCTGAGAGAGTGAGTGTCTGCTGTTTCAAGCCACCCAGTTTGTGACGGCAGCCCCGGGGAACTAACACACTCGAGGAAAACGAGAGAAACATAAACAGGCAGTTTCTGTTTATCATCGCCCATCCCGATAGGTCAGAGGGCCTGTACGTCTTGTGTGTGTGTGTGTGTTCTGAAGACTGGCATTTCTCTGACTTTACCCAAATAGTGTCTACTCGATGTCTGGGGAGTTCACAAAGCCTCATCCGATTGACAGACTCATCCGTAAGTGTCGGATGGCTCTGACTCCTGCAGCACTGCCGGTTCCTCTGCTGACCCTCGGAGGATTCTCAATGACAAAGGGCCTCTCTTGTGCAGACACAAAGCACCCCAGAGGATCCAGCTGTCTCTGCAGTCCCCACTCCATGCTCTCCTAGGATACGGAGGTAACAAACTTGCTCTAATTCACCCGGCCCTTGGGAGTGGAAAGGGCCAGCCATGGCCTTGCCAGCTCTGCTGTGTTCCGTGGCAGGGGACCATGCGGGCAGTGTCAACGTGCCCCTGGGGTCACCTGCAAACTCTCCTTAGCCTGTACCCGTCCACCAGTCCCCAGGCTCTGCAAAATTTAACTCCAAAACATCCCTGAAATGAAAGCACCGTCTTCTGTCCAGGCTCACTGCCATGACCTTGGTTCCTGCTCTCGGCATCTCTTCCTCCTCACAGCCTTGTCCAAACTGCTTTAGAGATGCCCAGCTCACTCCTCGTCCTCTGCTCACAGGACCATTCTCCTGGCATGGTCTGGGGGCCAGTCGTGCTAGTGACTGACCATCTCTCAGGGCCCCTGGCCTGGGTGCCAGCCACAGCAAAGAACCGTTACTTCCTGAACCTGCAAAGGTGTTTCGCACTCCGTGAAACTACTTTGGAAAAAAAATCACACCTCTCCCCTCCTGCTATCTGGAACTTTTCCTTCTCCACTCACGCCTAGTTCTCACTTCTGGGAAGATTCTCTGGACAGCTCCCATGGATTGATCTCTCCTCCCACCTATTTTTGTTTTTGCTATTTCTAAATCTTGTAAACAATTCTATTAATTCATTTACCATAACGAAATTATTCCCATTGAAGTATCTGTGTCCCTTAATAGGTTTCGAACCATTTGAAGTCAAGAACTGAGTCTTTGTTCTGTGGGTGGCCTCGGTGTTTAGCATGTCGCCAGCAATGCAGTGGGTGCTCAGGAAACATGTTTGACAACGTCACCCATATTGCAAAAGCCAGTCAGATAGCAGAGACTAAAAGGAAACTGTGTCACTATAAGCTAGATTTAGCATGACATCTATTTCATCTACTAATGAACGAGAAAACAGAAACATCTACAGAACTAATCTCTTATCTTCAAAGCTTATATAACAATTAAGCAGAAAACTGAGTGACACTGCAAAAGTTTGCCTGGTGCCAAGATTGTGATTTGATGGTACATTTCCTAAGGACTAGCAGCTCCCTAAACTTTACTATTTTGATTAGTTTTTTCAATTTTTTTTTTTTTTTTTTTTTGAGACAGAGTCTCACTTTGTTGCCCAGGTTAGAGTGAGTGCCGTGGCGTCAGCCTAGCTCACAGCAACCTCAATCTCCTGGGCTCAAGTAATCCTCCTGCCTCAGCCTCCCGAGTAGCTGGGACTACAGGCAGGTGCCACCATGCCCGGCTAATTTTTTGTATATATATTTTTAGTTGGTTAATTAATTTCTTTCTATTTTTAGTAGAGATGGGGTCTTGCTCAGGCTGGTTTTGAATTCCTGACCTCGAGCAATCCACCCGCCTCGGCCTCCCAGAGTGCTAGGATTACAGGCGTGTGCCACCATGCCCGGCCTCGTTTTTTTCAAGTTCTTGAAAGTTCTTTCAAGTCTTTCAAACCTGCCAGGCAGAGTTAGGGGAAGATTACCTTCTGGTAAGAACGCAGTGACAAGGCATGCCACCCCCGCCACTATATTGCTTGCCGCAAAGGGGAGGCGTCGTCCAACACGCTCAATGGTTAGTAAGATCAAGAGAGCTCCTGGCAGTTCCACAACTCCCGAGATGAAAAAGTCTATATAGAGGTTGCCTCCTATAATTCCCAGGCGCATGACAAGTCCTTGATAGACCACTGCACTTGTGAACCTGCAGCAACATTGAAAGACACCAGAGAAGAACAAGGAGGAGATGACTTCAACCTGATTGGAAGGAAGGGGCATGTTGCAAATTTGACACAAGCTTTTAAATCCATCACAGGTCAAACTTACCAAGCGAACATAAGGATAAGTGTGCACTTCCTCATTTGGGGAGTTCTCACCAGATCTAAAATGGATGGATTGCTAACTTCCTCATCTGTGACAGTGATCTATACAAGAAAAGCAGATTTCAGTAGCAATATACACCAAAAAAACACCTTGCATAGTACAGAACTGTTGTTAACCAGATTCAAAGCCACGGAACTGGATGATCTTACCAAACTGACTGGGGGCTTTCATAATTATACCTTAAAATCTGAGAATGAAAAGGCTTGTCCTCTGGCATTTTGAGTAGGTCAAATTCACAAAGCTGGGGTTGCAGCACAGAGAAATCTATTCTTAGCGTAATCGCAGTACTTCATGTTAAACTGCTCTGAGTAAACAAGGACAAAAGGTGTGTTCTAAAGTAACTACGTGTGCACATTTATTAAATTGGGAGAAAATGAGAGTAAAAGTGGGTAAAGCATGTGGGATCCAACCAAGTGTTCCTTTATGTTATATATTAAATCCTCAAATCTTACTTTGACAAAATAATGTTAAGTCTAAGAGCAAGCATCAAACATCAAAGGACAATTTTGCTTTTGTCCATTCATTGGAACCTAGCACCTTTCTGATCCAGGAAAATTCAGCTCATCTTTATCTGGCCATCCAAGAAGTTGATCTTTTCTTCAGTTCAACAAATATTACTTTTGGCCGACCACGTACAAGGCACTATGCAGGAAATAAAACACAGGGCAAACCTCCGTAGTCACAGGCTGCCTCTAGTCGAGTGTGCCAAAGGTGTCAGAGAATCTAGTTCCCTGTGGTGGCCACAGTGCCACCTCTCCATGCACCTGTGCGGTCTGTCACCTCTGCTTGGAGGCCCTGTGACCTCCTCAGTCCCGATTTCACCTGGTCTGGGAGGTCTTTCGTAACCTCAGCAGACCTGATGACTTCCCACCTGTGCCTGTCTGCCCAAAGCCCTCTCTCAGCACCGATAGGCAGTGTTCCTCACGCGCCTCCTTCTCTTTCTCCCTCCCGGAGCGCTGGAGCTCTCGGAAGGCGGGGACTGTGTCGCAGCACCAAGCAACGTGCCTGGTGTCGGACAACTGCATAGTTGCCTGAATGCTGAAGTGGGAAGCCAGGTGTCCTGGAGATATCTGTTCCTCAAGACGTTGCCTTCAGTTTTTGTCCTCAAGTAAGAATCCTGACTTCTAAGGGCAGGAGCCCTCCTGTCCGTTTGCTCAACTCCAGATCTGGCCCAGACGGAGTGAGAATCTAGGCAAAATGTCCCCAAGATTTTGAGCCAAAAGGTCTCTCAACCAGTAGTCACAAGAATTTGACTTGGAGAAATTCACACCGACAGTACCTTGTCAATCACATATTCTAGACAGTAAATTCAAAGGGCCAACTGAAGCTTGACATCTTGAGCCTACGTTTGCTCTGGGGAAAGCACACACACTAAAGTAGACTGCAAGTGAAGGTCTTCAGATCACTTTTTTCCCAGTCTCCCCAATCCTGTATTTCTTCTAGACCAAGACACATTGGTTTTCCACATTTTAAAATCTCTTAATTTGGGATGTGTCCTACAGCTGAACTGATAAGAAAGCAATGTGTCACAGGTTAAACAGCCTGTTTTCTCTGACTCAGTGGGATACAAAACCACTGTTTTATTTATTTATTTATTTATTTTTTGAGACAGAGTCTCACTGTGTTGCCCGGGCTAGAACGCCATGGCATCAGCCTAACTCACAGTAACCTCAGACTCCTGGGTTCAAGTGATCCTCCTGCCTCAGCCTCCCGAGTAGCTGGGACTACAGGCACACGCCACCATGCCCGGCTAATTTTTTTCTATATATCTTTAGTTGTCTGGCTAATTTCTTTCTATTTTTTTTTTTTTTTGAGACAGAGTCTCGCTTTCTTGCCCAGGCTAGAGTGAGTGCCGTGGCGTCAGCCTAGCTCACAGCAACCTCAGACTCCTGGGCTCAAGCAATCCTCCTGCCTCAGCCTCCCGAGTAGCTGGGACTACAGGCACGAGCCACCATGCCCGGCTGATTTTATATTATATATATTAGTTGGCCAATTAATTTCTTTCTATTTTTATGGTAGAGATGGGGTCTCGCTCAGGCTGGTTTTGAACTCCTGACCTTGAGCAATCTGCCCGCCTCGGCCTCCCAGAGTGCTAGGATTACAGGCGTGAGCCACCGCGCCCGGCCTCTTTCTATTTTTTTAGTAGCGACGGGGTCTCACTCTTGCTCAGGCTGGTCTCGAACTCCTTAGCTCAAACGATCTGCCCACCTCGGCCTCCCAGAGTGCTGGGATTACAGGTGTGAGCCACCGTGCCCAGCCAAACCATTGTGTCTTAAAATCAGTAGTGTCTTAGAGTCAACAAAACAATAGTTTCCATGATGAGGACAGCGGAAGACTGACAATTGATTTTACCACCCATTCTTTCCTCCTCTCTTTTGATAGCAGAACCCATGGAATTTTAGTTGGGCACACAGCTGCCTGTCAACAGTCACTTCTTCTAGCTTCTCTTGCAACTACGGTGGCCTGTGACTAAGACCTCAGTAGTGAGGTGGTCGTGGATGTCATGTGCTTAAGTTCTAGGTCCCATCCGTTAAGAGGAGATAGCTTGACGGAAGAAGATGCTGGTGAGCTTCAGCACACACCCTGTTACAGATGATGGTGGAGACACAAGATAAATGGAACCTGGTCTTGGGGGCCTGTGGAACAGAGCTGCCTTGCCAGAGCCAAGCTACTTACCTCTGGGGGAGGGGGGGTGTGTATTAGAGAGTAAATACTTTTTTCTTTTTTTGTCACTACGGTTTTTGGGTCGCTGTTTCAGCAGCGAGTTGTCCAGCAAGTTGACCTGGACCCTAAGTAATGCAGTGCCCATTAAGATGCTCCCTGAGCTAACCTTCTACACCTTAACCCTTTGCACTCGCTTGCTTTTTTCTCGATTCCTTTATTCTACTCGGGATTTAATTTTTTAAAATACCCCAGATTTTACAAAGCGCAGCAGTAGAATAAAAAACTGGAGTTTCTTTTCATACAAACTTATTTACTTGGATTTTTTTAATATTTCAAATTATTGATACATTCAAAGAGTAATTTAAATCTCTATAATTTTTGCTAACTGTGTCGAGTCACACTCGACATCTGAGTGCAAAGGGTTAAGACCCCAGTGACAGATTTTTCCTTATTTACCTTAACTTTTGCTGCTCCAAAAATAAGGCAGGAATATCAAACGTGGAAGATAAGAAGTTGTTATATTACAGCAATATGTTATTGTATGGTTCGTTACTGAAATGTTTCAACAATTAGTTTCTATACATTCCCACATTAAAATGGCTAATATCCGTGGAGCGTGTAATATTAGATTCTGGGCTTTTACATGGATTATTTCATTTAATTCTCATCAGAGCTCTATAAAGTCAGTACTTTTATTAATCTCATTTTATAAGTAGAGGCTCAGGACGTTAAAGATTAAATGGCATGAAGGTAGATAAGCCAGGATTTGAAACCAGACAATTGATTAGAGATCCTCTGTCCTTAATCCCCACCTAGCAGTGCTGAATGTGTAGAAAGCTTTTCTTCCAGAAAAATTCTTTACAGTTGATGGTCACTTCTATATGTTTGTAAATATACGCTTGACCAAAAATTGAATCTCTGTTTTATGAGAAAAGATGTGACTAAACTAATCTAGATTGTAAAGATCTTTCAGTTCAGGATTAAAATCACCGGTAATACGAGGGCAGTTTGTCTCCACACAGGTGTCACTGCTGACTTATTCCAGCAGTTACCGCCCTTCACTCAGCGATTTTCCGTGACACAGATTTGGGCCTGCGCAGCCGTGTTCGTCCCGGGCTCGTCTCCCGTCTTCTGTCCAGATGACAGATCGCTCATCTACACACCGACGCCACTGTTCACCCGGAGCACACAGGTGGCCACGCTCTCCCTCTTCTTTTCGAAAGCAATATCCACAGCAATTTATTACTGGCTTTCCTTATGTCCTCTCCAGTCTTCTCGCGGCCCGCCTAGCGCGATGGCTTCCGTTTACGAGATGTGAGTCCAAACAAATTTGCTTTCATTCAGGCCCCCATGTTAGCATCTTAGCACTGAAGGCAGATAATAATCACATATTTCAGGATCTCCGGTCAGTTCACGTAGATGATTCGGCATTTAAACACGTTTGTAGATTTTTCACTTATTCCTGGTTTTTCACTGTTTGTAGTGATAGAATAATAGAGCATCTCTTGACCTCATGTTAGCTCTGCGGATGTTGCATTTTCCTGGCCAGATCTCCGGTCACTACATGACTACAGAATTATGGTATGCTAGATTTTAACAAGACAATAAAGCTCTTATGGATTAACATGGAGATTGGCAATCTTTTTCTGCAAAGGGACAGATAGTAAGTATTTTTAGTTTTGTGAACAGTAAGTTCTCTGTTACAACCACTTAACTTTGCCATTGTAGTGTGAAAGCAGCCATAGACAAAATATAAATGGGTTCCAATAAAACTTTATTTGCAAAAATAGGCAGTGAGCTGGGTCTGACCTGAAAGCTGTAGATTGCTGACCCCTGAACTAGGGGGTCAGTGCTAGAGGAATTTATGCAGATACTACTAGTATGCCCATTACAGAGAGGAATACATTGAGGCATAGAAAAAAGCTAAGTAGCTTACTCAAGGAGGACACACAGTACCTAAATGAATCAGGAGGCTTGATACCAAAATTTGTATTTTTAACTATTATGCTATATTGCATCTGCAATAAGCAGAATATGATATTTATTTTATCATTTAAAAGTATGCTTTTATTATTTCATTAATAGTTCTCATGAGGCAGTGAGATTATGGCGGTTTTTACCTTCTTTTCAGCTATAAATATTCTCTTAAAATTAAAAATTGAAACCTTATTATAATACTTTTATAACAAAAAAAGTTTACTTTTAAATGCATGGATTTTAACTTAGACAATAGTGTACCTAGTTATTGACTCAGTATTACTGCCCCCTTCTCTTTCCTAACAGAACCCCCCATTCCCGTACAAAGCGTCAATGCACGTTCTCAGGGGAGCTGAGCCTGCTTCCAGTTGCAGAGGGAGGCCTGATTACCTAAGGGTAA